TCGATGTAAAGTAAACACTGACATTGTAAAGTAAAAGTATTTTCGTGTTTAATCATTTTATTTGTTTTATCTACCGATGTTATAAATACTTTACACAGTCTATGGTCAGGACTTTGATATTTTACGTCAATGTCATAGTTTACCGTTTGAAAGAAGCGATATTCCTTTGTCAAGTTTTTTTTTTGTCAAATCTTATATAATGCTTCTTTAATCAGCGGTGTTTCAAATTAGCCAAGTATTCTTTGATGGTCTAAGTGGAAGCACTTTCAATATGTAGGCAATATTTTATATAACTCCTCTAAATATAAATTGGTAGTAGATAATTACATAGAGGGTTTCATAAAAAATTCAATATTCTATTTGATTATTTACTAATTAACACACTCAATTATGATTAAACAGCTTGAACCTTTTAAACGTCATACAGGGTGTCGTTACCATCGCGACAATAAATGAACACACGTCTAACGCTACTTGCCAATAATCATAAAAAATATTAACGTTAAACAAAATCCATAGTTAAAAAAAATATTTTTCAAACAAACTAATTAAGTAAAAAAGAAACAAAATTTGTAACATCCTATACAACTCGCGCCACACCGTCACATTATAAACCTCTCCTTCTAACAGTATGTTTTGTCTCTTTTAAATTCATTCAACCCATTCATATGCTTTGTGACCTTTACAAATGAACTTTACGTTACAGTTTTATACTTAAGGGTGTTTTAAAATTGTCGGTAAATATTGATGTTTAAAGAATGTAAATGTTTAATACAATTTTAAAAAGTTATCATCTATATGTGTGTCAATTTATTGTCGCGGTGGTAACGACATGCTGTATAATACTGAATAATAAACATTTTTAAATTTATTAAGAAAAAAATTGTCTCCCCCAGTTTTCCACCCATAAAAAGTATTTAAATCTCCGTGAAAATGTATTAGACGTAGACAGGAAAATTAAAGCGTAAGACCTTTATAACCCTAAAGTAAACCCGATCGGTGTCTACAAACTTTTCTATTGAATTGAAGTTTGAAAATGAAGCATCCATTGTGAAGTTTCATATGTAAATAACATACACTGCTTACTATACACGAAGATTTGCGAAAATGTCGCTCGTTATTATAAGGCACTGTCGAAGTTTTTTTTATCCATGTTAATAAAAGTGTTGTTTTCTATCATATTAACCTAAAAAACAAAGTGGGTACATAGAAAACATGGATACATAGAAATCGTTACGTATTAATACTACTAACTATATAATTACTTAAATTAAAACAATATTATTCCCATCTAAGAAAAGCGCGTCTATCATTAAAACTTGATGCAATTCGTTTTGTTTGTTTACAAGGCACAAGCGTTTATTATAAGTTGGTGTGTTTATCAAAACTACTATGTCACCACTCGCTGTCGTGTAGGATGGGGCTCAAACTGCACAAGTAGTCCATCATTAAAAAAATGTTCTTATTTTTCGTGTAAGTTATGAAAGATATGAAAGCGAATTTTTATTACTAAAAGGAAGATCTCGTAATTAATTGGTAATTAATTGTGTTCCATTTCAATCACATCGATGCCTCTTTACCGTCGGGTCACTTGTATCCAAAATCAACAGGATTTCCTGTGTGATAACACGAAGAGTAATTGAACCTTGATTAAATAGAATGAGATGTTCTCTGAAATCTCTACATATAATTTCTCAAAGATGTTTTTGTCGCTACACCATAACTTCCATAATTATTCATCACTTTTGATAATTCAAAAACAATTTTATAGCTTATATTTCACAAGAGTTGTTCAAATTTTGTTTATAAAATGTGTGATAATGACATCTTTTGACAATTTGTTTAAAAAGGAGTTAAAACGTTATTCTTTAATATAAGATTATCTTACCATTTATGGCCGTGATAGCTCAGTGTCCGGGCGCTCGCCTTTCATTCAATATACTCGAGCAACCTGAGTTCGATCCCCGGTGCCAACACCAATGAAATTGTTAAGTTTAAGTGCCGAATTATCACGTGCTCAACGGTGAAGGAAAACTTCGTGAGGAAACCTGGATATTTTCGAAATAATATTAAAAAAAATATTTCGAAGATATGTTAAGTCCGCCAATCTGCAGTGGGGCCGCGTTGCTATGACCTGATACTCTTTGTACAGCAGTGGGAAACACTTTAGGCTGATACTTAACTTTTTGATTTTACATACTTTAGGCTGATACTTAACTTTTTGATTTTATACCATGATTTTATTTATAATGACAGTAATCAAGATACTATGCAAACAATTCGCACAGGTCAACCAGTGATATATATTTGCAAACATGAATTCATGTTTATATAGTACTAAAATAACAATTTTTTGTGAAAATCACCACACATTCGTATATTTATGTGTTAAAATCTGGGTGTTTGTTCAGCGAAATTTTAGTTTGTAAAACGCTCTTACAACACATGATTATGTAAGGGAAATTTTTTCAAAATAAAAAATAAATAAGAAACTTTTACCCACGACCACTATTATACATAAGCAGACATCTTCGTGTATAGTTATTAATACGATACGGTATCTAGTTCTCATAGTACGGTAATTAATAAAGTAATATCTACATAAAATACATAAAATGTAGCGTGCTTGAAGTCGATGGATGCAGGTAGCTCAAGATCGTGCTTTGTGATAGTCTGTGGAGGAAACCTATGTTCAGCAGTGGACTCCTTCAGGCGTACAGGCTGCAATGATGATAATCATGATGGTTGATTCTAATTATTAAAAAAAATTCTCTCGTGATTTTTATCACAATTCGACAATACGCTCGTAGTCCGTAAAAAAAATAGTTTAGAGAATTATATACTTTAAAGCAATATTTTATGTATTATTTATCTTTTAATTATTAACTTTATAAATATTAAATATGCCATAACATTCCATAAAATATCACTATCATTTAAGTAAGTGGTAATATATTATGTATTCCAGAAACAGGTAATCGTAACGATTTGTATACATAATTTGGGACGCTTTCAACGGGTTTCAATTCGGTTCTTTTCAATAAAAACGTAAGCGAAAGGCTCTGAAATAAAAGTTCTCGACATGAATATTAGAAATATTGAACACGACTCGATGGCCTGGAGCGAGGCGCCGGTACAACGCTGGAAACACCCTCATCTTTATTAAGGGCATTCTTTAGTGAAACGGAAAGGAACGAAAAACGCTTTAAGCCTCTCAATTGGGACAGTTCCAATACAAAGTAATGTAGGAGCGTGGTCTCAATTATTAAACGATGCAATCGCCGCTCTCGCACAACCCTAGCGTTAATACTTGAATACCTAGTATTTGGGTCAGGGTACGTGGGAATATTATAGTACGTTACGATGTAATGCCAGGAAATTATAGAGCATTTTATATGTTTGTATCTTGGGAATCAAAATATGAAGTTGTGCAAATATCGACTCTATTGTTAACATATAAGATCTAAATCCTCCAGAATGCGCTAATTATAAATAGTCACTGTATAAAATCGTGCAGTCATAGGTTGCAATTTTCTATTGAAGAAATTTTTAAAGCAATTCTTTTCCGGGTATGGTCCGAACAAAGAGGCTTTGAAATGTTCTTTTATTTAATTGTCTTCTTATTTTTAGGAAGGTAATAAGGGAGTTGTGGAAATAATAAAATTGTTATGTAATTATATATATTTACTTCAAAAATTTGTAATTCACTACTAAAATCATTTTCGATTGTCTTAATTAAATAATAATTTAGTTCGTAAACATACAACATTAATGTTTTTCAAACATATGTTACCCTTCCGATGAAATATTAAATTTCTAAGTGACAGCGTGTGGAAAAACTATCAGACGACTCCCGTTGTTCTACGGTATAATTATATACCATTGATTATATAACTTGATTTGGGAGATTTAAAATTTTACGCTACGTGTAGGTGACGAAGAAAGCAAAATTAAGTGGGCATTTTTCTGGGAATTGTAACTTCCCCAAATGAGAGGCGGCAAGTAAAAAAGGTACCATTAACTGAGGTACATTTAAATTATCAAATAATGTTCCAGTAACTAACATATCTTTTAAACATTAAATAAATTTCTTACCTTTGTACATTTTTATATCAATTGCGTATATTTACAATATTTATTCCAAAGAACTATTTCATTTAATTGTAGAAGCCGAAATATAATTACGAAATTATCACCAACTAAATCAACCTTTTTATATGCCACGCCTCATTTGTAGTAACACGTAATGTTATAATATAAACCTAATCATAATTATATCAAATTATTAGCATTATTAGATTTATTTAGTAAAATAACCAATAATTATAATATATAATAAACTAATATTTTAGTTATCTTACTAAATTACTCTAATATGGGCTGAGTAATTGTAAAATAATGCAATCTATTTGTAATAAACAATCATAAAAACATTATTTTTTGCTGAATATACTTTAATTTCTCGTCGCTTACTATAGTAGCATTTTTTAATTTATTTAAATAATTCTGGGTCATTAATTTTTATTTTTTAAATATTCTCGGTATACAATGCATTATAGTCTAATTAAAATGTCTACATACAACATAAAACATACAAAAAGCACTAAATGAATCTAAATCAGTTTATTTTCAAGCTGTTTACAAGCCTTTTTTTTTTGGCTTACAGTCAAACTCATAGTAATAAGACGGAGTATACTCGCAGTATTGTTTCTATACTATGTAAATGAAGACAATCATAGAAATAAATTTGACAGTTATTTTTCCATATTTCTATTCATGAATAACACTTCGTGTCACGTCATATTATTCAAACATGGTTAAATTTTATACAATTTTGAATTACTGAACATCACTTTTGATCTAGATTAAAATTATTATTTTCGTAGAATTTTTAAAACTATATCATCATTTTCACTTGCTTATAATAATTTGTTACAGACACCAGTTAAGAACTATGGTATTGTCCTTAAGCGAACCATCGAGCAAGAAATAAAGCGCTAATTTGTAAAGCACCGCCTTTCAACCACAGTAGCGCAATCGATTCTGGACATTTCGCGGAATATTCTCGATAAATTAACTAGCATGTTCAAATCGTTGTTCCTGCACAGCCAGAGATTCAGAATGTTCTCGGTCGGCGAGCATGTATTTGAGAAGTAGTAGTAGTGAGACGTTATTTTCAATTTCTCAGCCAGCAATCTCCAATCGTTACCTTTCGTTGATTGGGAATCGAGCAGTTTGCACAATATCACTCTATCGGATTTCGTTAGCACGTTGCATCTGTAGTAATTATTGTCGACGTGGTAACTGTTCCTTAGGATGCTGTTGTTCTTGTAAACAAAATCGTAGCGACCCTCTTTTTTAGACAACGAAGAGTAATTGAACGGATTCTCTACGATATTAACACTATAACCAGTTTCCAGTCCGGAGTAGCTGAAACGCTTGTTGCCGTTGAAGCTCGAGTTCAAATCGTTAGTTTTCAGATTGAAGTTCACCGAGTTCGACTGCCTCTGCTTCTGGTATATCGATAAGTTTAACTCCAAGCTGTTTATAGAGTCCAACTGCTGCAGGACGAAGACGCATTGCAGCGAGCGTACTGTCATATTCCATATGTGAGAGCAGGATATCTCCTGATGCGTGCCGCCGTTCTGTACCTTCCATCCGACGCCAACATCCCTCACGCTAAGGCACAGATCCGAGGCGCTCTCCTGGAAGCAGATGCTCTTTGGCTCGCAGAGCAGAAACGCGCCGGCGCGCCTCTCACTCTCGACGCAATCGTAGAGGGCGAACGGCGTGTCATTGAACACGTGGATGTTCAGGCTGTAGAAGCTGTCATCGGTCCTCTTGGCGATGAACAACGCCAACCTCAGCAGCTTCGAGTCCAGACCGTTGAAACTCTGACCGATTAGGACGAAGTCCGTTAGGAATTCGCACACGAGGTAGACCTTCGCGGGGTCGACTTGCGCGAAGATGGGTGTGCCGGGCGTCTCTTGGCCTAGGGTCAGCACCTTCCTCCACTCCCTAGAGCTGGTGTCCTCGGGCTTCTGGAGTACCGACAGCACCCAGCTGGTGCCTTTAAGGGAAGCGCAATGCGGGAAAGACAGGATGACGCCCTTACGGAAGTGGAAGTTCTTCGGACCACAGCGTATAACTGGACTTAGTTGTGTCTCACCTGTTAAGTAGATGTGTTACTCATAAATACATAGCACTATCATATGGATCAGAATATGTTAGATAAACTTTAAGACTTATGTTTTAATATGGAATATTTTTTTTATTATAAATTTTGAATTTACAAACTAGTAAAAGGTGACGTAGCTGACTAAGAAAACCATTAACGACTTGAACATTATCTAGTGTAGTGAGAGTAGCACTTTGATCACGAGAATTTTTTTATGTTAGAAGGTGAAAAGCGAGCTGGCGGTTCACCTGATGTTAATTGATAGCCACCGCCTATGGACAATCGTAGAGTTATTAAACATTTGCAACACCTTTCAATAAAGTGGGTTTCAGTTACCTCACTCACCAGAAGATTAACACTTCCACTTCCATTTACGTAAAAAAAAACGGAATTTATTGCATATTTAGAGTACGGAGTGTGTTAGGAAATATCTGATATTTTTTATATATAGAACATTGAATAATATATTAATATTGAATCTGTTAACAAAAGCTTCACGATTTCAAATTCAGTTCTTTTTTAAAATAGTCATATTATTTTTGGATCAGATAGGGGCATGACATTTACGATTTAGGTCACACTGTCCAAGCCCAGTACAAGTTTTACCGTCGCTCGCACGTACGGACGAGAATAAGACCTTTAAATCATGTAAAACTATTCCAGCTTATTTATTTACTATGAAGTTTAAAAAATATTTGTTAGTTAATTGATTGTTTCACTTAAGAATGTTTGTACTGCATAAAAATGTGCGTGATATCTCTGCAATTACGTCAAGAGTTTCTTCTCTTTCAGTTTCTCTTCATATCTAACGAACCACAAAATATTAAACTCTTTTATATAACTAAATTTCCTTGTTGTTTACACAACACGTTTCCTAGGAAAACTGGTCACGCCAGAAATAAGTTTCTTTTCACTACCCGAAAGTACTCGCCAAGCACAAAGGATTATTAAATCGAAACTGCTCAACAATGCAACACCATATTGTGCTCCAGAGAATTCATCTCGACTCTCGCGAAATAGAACGCAGCCGGCATTGAAGGAAGCTTCGAGTTGAAGCGGCATATTTGCTCCACAAGTGTAGGACCCCTGAACAAACACTTGTCTGTAGAGCACACCGCCATTCAGTTCGAAAGTGGAAAGACGCTGAACAAACGAACGTCTGACCAACGTTTTTGAACATGCTCAATGTTATATCTGCAAACTTTCGTCACGGAATGTTTTTTTAAGAAATAGGTTTCTGTTATTTATTTACACAGTCAATATTCGATACATGTAAATGTATCATGACTTCAAATTGGCTTAGATTCGTATCGATGAGTTTTTCCTTGGTCTAATTCAAGAATATCACTGGGTCCCTTCTTCTGTGAAGGAGCAATTAAGTCTTTTTTGGTATTATAAGTTGGCGGACGAGTAGGTGGTTCACTTGATGTTAAGTGATTACCGCCACCCATAGACATCTACAAATATGGTTACAGATGCGTTGCTAACACGTTTAAAAATTAAAATACACCTACTTCTACTTCTTCTATAAATCTGTAGTGGACCGATAGGGAGGTCCCTGGACGAGCCTGTCCATTCATGCAATACCAGAAGCATAGACGCGTTTTTTGTTCAATACATAAATTGTATAATAATTTATCACTGTTCCAGATCTGGTGAGGAATATTAAGAAATGGATTTACCTTCTTGCAACATCGGCCTGTTCCACTCTTCGTCTGTCACCTCCAAAGAGAACAACTCTTCGCCCTTATCGACTACCCCATCAGGAACGAACAAACTGACACCGCACTTATCGAGGTTAAGCCAATCGCCGTCACTCGTGATCATCTTCGAAGTCGCCGTCTCCAAATAGCTCACGCCAAGGAATTTTGAGTCGACGGACGCGTTGTTCTTTAAGGACGGCGACATTTCTATACTTTCATTACCATACGACGAGCCGGCTGAAAAGGAGTATTCTTCAAAACTCGATAGCTGGCTAAAAACGAGAAGCTTTTATAAAGCAATTAGGGAGACTGAACACCAAACAACTATTTGTATTTATTTAGCTAGTAAGGAACGGTAAGAGTAGTAGCGTAAAGTATAATAACACTGCGTAGTTTTTAAAAAATCTCTACATAAAATTTTTCAAACTGATAATCTGCAAACTACTTATATGAAAACGTATACATTGTTTGGTATGAAGTTCACTCATGCGTTTGCCGGTGCGAATCACGAAACTCACAGCTCAAAAAGCAGCTGGAACCAGATCTATCTGACTCCAAATTATCCTTGCAAGCGTAATTCCTTTCGCTGCCAGTGCGATCGGTTCTTACCTCGTGGTCGATTGGCGAAATGTAGCTGTAAAAATATTGCAATGTACAATGATTTCTTTTATTTATGCAAAATTTTATTGACACGTTTGAATTAGCCATTATAATTATGTTTGAATTAGTCACATTGTTAACTCTTTCAAACATGACCTTTTATTATTCACATCAAACATTTATTGGATTGATTAGTCTCTTTGAAACAAACTAAAGCGGTATCCGCTTCTATGATTCGGTGAAGATTTGTCTTTTTTATTTGTTTATTGCTTTGAGTCTGTAGATTCAACATCAATATCTAATCTCTTTACTTACATTACATTATCTCTTTCATACATTATTTCTTTATTTTTATTTTAAGCCTTCACATCCGTAAAATTTTTGCAGCACGTTTGACCTTCAATGGGGCTTACTTCAATTTCGTCACCCAAAACATTTGATTACAGCCATATATCATAGGACATGCCATTTTTGATTAGTAGGTGTAAACATCATACGTGTGTAAACATTACGGGGGTACGTCGAAATTAAAACGAGTTGCGAATCTCAATTACGGTGCATTGAAACTGCAACGCAATCGGCGCATCGCAGATCCTTATCCTCCATGAACGTGCCGCATTCAAATATTAATTACAAATAAGGCTTATCGTTGTCCGATCTTCATTTACATATGGAAACATGAATATTGAATGGCATTCGAATTTACCGCAACGCGATCGTACTACGATGATAATTTTCAATTGCAACCGCCCATAACTTGACCACTCTATGATATATGGGTGCGCGTAATTAATGAACATACAAATAAGAGCATAAATATACAGACAGACAGTTTCAAAGAGTAGTATTATATCCAAAATATTTGGCATTTAAAAGGATCTCTTAAAATGGGAATGAAGAACTCTTAAAAGAAATCAGTTCATCTAATGAGCCCATTACACGAATGGGCAGGCTCGTCTGGGTAAGTAGACCTCACAGAAGACCAACGTAAAATGGAAGTATGACAAATACTTTCACGTTTCGTCTGGTGAGTGAGGTAGCCGGAGCCCAATTTTCAAAAGTTTGTCAACGCATCTGCAAACCCTTGGGTGTAGCAGATGTCCATGGGCGGTGGTATTCACTTAACATCAACTGAACTGAACAATATGAAAACAAATTGATCAGAACTCATACATGAACTTCCATGTCTTTATCATTTAAGAAAAACTTTCTTTAAGTAAATTGATCCTTCTGTATTTGGTGGCACGTCTCAATTCGGAATAATCAATACAGATTGCATTACCAACGAGATATATTATCTAAATCATCAATTTAAAAAGTACAAACAAATAATCTTACCTGTTCGCTAACTGTGGCACCTCGTACAAATGCTCTTGGCGCGCGTTAATTGAGGATTGCGTTTGGCGACGGGTTCTTCTTGAATCCAAAGTGTGGAACTCCTCATGAATTGTCAAGTCTGGTTGATTTGTCAGAGTTCTCTTCAAGACACTCCCAAAGTATTGCGTACCTTTATACAAACAAGATCATCATACTTTTGAATGTAAGTCTTGATAATTGTATATAAGTACACTTAAACGAGAAATAACTGGTACCTGGTGGAGGCTTCACGTAAGGAGAGTTCTCATTCATTTTAAACTTCATATATTTTATCCCCAATATCACAACAATTATGAATATTAGAAACGCAATTGATAATGCTATGAATAGTGGCCAGTATGATGACCCTGGAAAAATATTATTATATGATCAACAATGGTCTTCAATGAAACATAGAAAGTAGTAATAATATAAAATTCTGATAAAAGACGATGTTATTTGTGACAGTCAATTATCTATCTGTTGCATGATTGAAAATTATGAGGGTTCGTATATTTCTTTACACCTTGATAGTATAATAGAAATGAGAAAAACTAGAACTGATTTTTACTGATACCTATCTACTATTGTCTCTAAGGGACCTTACTAAAGCGTTCCATATCAAAGTAAAAAACATAGCCAACATTCCTGAAATTAATAGCGACTGACCGTCTGTCAACATTTCAGATTTAGAAGTTCTCACACAATGAGGACATTGAGCCACTTGGTAATCCTTTCCCAAGCAAGCTGTGCTGGTGAGGCAACGACGTCTCCTCGTTTGGAGACAGTCTGTGTCACATCTAGACCAATCCGACCACTGGGACCAACGCCCTGAAAACATATTACATTTGACCCAACCTTTTCCAACACAAACATATTTGTAAACAACGAAACATACCTAACACAATATCAGAGGACTCATCTGCCAGTTCGTCTAATCCATCGACGTAAACATCTGGAAATATTTTCAAGAAAGTAATCTTAAGTAAACACACTGAAAGACAAAAGAAATAACTCAATCATATAAACGTATTCGTTACTTATAATCATTTAAAAGGCTATTTTTATGTGAGATGGTGGTAATGGAGGTGGCGTTTCGCCTCATGTTAAGTGCCACCACCACCCAAAGAGATTTGCAACACCCGTGGGGTTGCAAATGCGTTGCTACCCTTTAATAAAGCGGGCCCCGGCTACCGCACTCACCAGGCGAAACACAGAAGTGTAACATTTCCACTTCACGCTGGTCTTCTGTGAGGTCCCTGACGGATCTGCCCATTGTGCAACAGTGACTGTTAGACATAGAAGTATGAGGAATAGCCAATATGATACCTAAATCGCAGTCCACACAGTCCTGAGTTTTCTGCACACTGGGGCCGATACATGGTTGTCCGCCATTTAGGGGTCTTGGAGCTGTGCAAGTCCGCTCTCTTCTACGGCCGTTTCGACCCTCACGTCTTTCCCTCGCCTGCCCGGGACAGTAACAGTCGACCCATGTAGACCATGCGGTCCATCCACCGTTGACTATTTAAAAAAAAGATATCAACGAAAATTACATCTGCCAAAGTAATGTACAAAGTTGTTTTAATAAAGATGACGCATGTCCATACTGCGGGGTATTTAAAATTGTTCCACTTTACATTATATGACATGTATAATTAAATGTGAAATATATAGAACGATACATTATATGATACGGAAAGAAGGATATCAGTCTATAGAATTGCAATCTAATTATACCCATTGGCGTAATTTGAGTGCCTAAGTTTATATAATATCATTGGTTAAAAGAACTTAGACGTCATTTGACAAATGATTAAATTTTTATTAAAAATATTGATTCGTATTGTGCATTTAAAACGTTCGCTTTGTATTTGTCCGGGGAGTAACGTTAAAATTCAACTTGTGGTACATCATTTTATAAATTATTTACAAAAATTCTTCGAATAATAGTCAGTGATTAACAGAAAAAAGATCTTTGACGTTTTTATAAAAGATCCCTTTAGATTATGACATTATATAGCTGTACTAATGCGACTATCAGTACTAGAAAAACACGTCTATAACTAAACGAAGGGAAACAACATTTATGTTAATATTGTTGTATTGAATCTAGACTTCTTATGGCACGTTTTATACACTCACCGTAAACTGTTAAAAGAGCTGGCTCTGACATCCTTTTTCCGGCCAAATTCTCCGCGACACAGGTGTAGTTCGCCATATCCTGAAAATAGACTTGCATCAAACTGGCACGGAAAATTTCCTAACAAAATAAAACAAAATGTGGTGTTTACTGCATCGTCTTCGTCAAAGAATTTTAACAAAACCGTAAAGATGATGGATAGAAATAAATTTGAGGTAAATTTTAGACTTTTCAAACAAATGGTTTCGGATCCCTCAAAGAAAATTACATAACGATAACGTCACACGCTGGTGTATCTGTATACGGGATCAGAGACAAAACAAAGAGAAACGACAGACCATTAATATCGTCTCGTTAAACACACAAAGCAATACATTTCAAGATAAATTTATATCAAATTTTCAAGCGCACATCGCTCACAAAATACTCCAGGCATTCAATTCCTTGAGGCATAAAATTTATTCATACTAATTTGACGATCAAAAACGCTGTATTAAAATATTCGACATTCAAAAGGGGAATAAACGCGGAGATAATGGAGAGCTATGGGACATCGAGAGCAGTAAACATTCTATTGTAGCGCAACAGATACTAATTTCTGCGACCAAAAAAAGTAGGTCGAAGCGTCCACATATTTGAGTAAGGAATCGCAATCCGTGTTACAACGTAAGGGGAACATGCGGGCTTAAAAGTGCGGAGCTAATTAAAATTTTCGCAACAATAAACGCGAATATCAGGCACAGAAAAATTTGAGCTTCTGTTCGGCTAAATTTTTTGGTGTCGCCCGTTGAGACATTTTGTAAACATAACATACTATTTTTTCTGTAAATAACTGGCTTGATTGGTTGTTTCTTTAGTGTTTTATTGTTAAAAATAAAAGTACGTTCCTAATTAGGCCATATGAAAAAATGAGTAAAATAAAACAAAAACATGCTTATGTAATGGAAAAACTTCCATTGGGTCAATATGTGCCAACGTTTTTTTCTGTTTTCTTATTTATGTAATAAGTGTGTTAGCGAACCAATAATAATAGCATTTGAAATGTATTAGCAAAAATTAGGAGTGTATTGCAGCAGGAGTAATTTCTCTATATATTTATCTCTAAATTTTGTTATAGAAACTTAACTAAAAGAACACAAAATATAGCTTACTGTATTATGTTTGTTGATATACTACCCAATTTATTATGTATATCGTCTACTTGACCAATACTCATCGTACAAGCACTGATTTAGGTAAAAATTGGAAATAAAAGCAATGTCGAAGTTATCTTATAATCTAATAATTGAAAAAAATGACTATCCATATATTAGAGAATTTGTCTAGCGTTTTAGATACGTGCTTAAAAACTGACCCCACAGAGGGTCAGTTTTTAAGCACGTATGTTCGAGTACGTATAAAATGACTAAAGTGAAAGAAATATTATTAAATAAGTTATTGTAAAAACACTTGAATTCATTACTACTATCACACCCATTTTTTTATGTGTTAAATTGCCAAACGAGCAGACGGTTCACCTGATGGTAGGTGAATACCGCGGCCATGGACATGTGCTATACCCGAGGGTTACAGATGCGTTGACCAGCTTTTGAAAATTGGGTTCCGGCTATCTCACTCACCAGGCGAAAGTATTTGTCATTCTTCCACTTTACGTTGGTCTTCTGTGAGGTCGTGGTACTTCCGCGGACGGACCTGCCCATTCGTGCAACAGCCGAGGCTGCTGCGTGGCCCTATCACCGTAAACCTACCATACAAATATTGCCCTCCCCCAATCCTGCGACTCGGCCCTATACTCTTTTCGGTCTAGCTAAGTCACTGCCAACTCGGACAGTCATAATTTGCGAGTAAAAACTGCTTACCAATAATGACGCTTGTTTGATGACCAGATCCCCCTCTTTGCTAATTTGCACATTGTCGTCAGGCGCCACCGGTGCGCCATTCTTGAGCCAGTAGAGCTGCGCAAAGGGCGCCGCCGGCGGTGGCTCACATCGGAACGTAACCGGTGAGTATTGCTTCACCAGCTGTGACTGCGGCGCCACCGAGAAATGCTTCTTTATATCTAGAAATAGCTGGATAATTATGTTCAGGCGTACTGATAACGACGAAAGGCAGGCACAAAATGATTTCTATGAATCTTTAGTACATGTGTGGTTTGAAAAAAACATTAAATATCCTTAAGTTTTACTACTACTGTTAATTGAATTTGGAGAGAAACACAAATGTGGGACGATAGTCGAAGAAGACACAAATACGACCCTTTGAAATTTGTTCCGCGGGAATTAAAATACGAAGCTTCACCAAACGAGGGATCGAACCAAATTTTATTCTAATATCGTACGTACGTATCAGGAGACAGCATGGCATGTTCTAGATGTAAAAAAATCATACGCTTACTAAGAAACATTTCATCGCCCGACATAATTTTCGCCCTCATATTTAACATTGGCTTTCAAATCTTTTTTCAAGTTGTATTTTTCGCTTTCGCTGACACATTTCCATTTGCTGTTTATCTGTGACCGCTTAAATGAAAAGGAGAGATCTCGCGCCGGGGGTTTTTAACTGGGTCGCGAACGATGTGCGGAGCTGTGGGTTTAGTCCTTTTTTATTTTATTCCAAATGGCATATCAACTGAGCAAATAATTCATCAGACGAGTCATCAGATCTAATTGTGGTAGGGCCGTGCAACAGTCCTCTCTGTTGCACGAATGAGCAGGTCCGTTCACGTAAGTACGACGACCCCACACGAAGCCCACAGACGGTGGGCGTGAAGTGGAAGTGGTATGCTTCCTTGTGTCGTCTGGTGAGTGAGGTAGCCAGCGTCCACTTTACTAAAACGTGGCAACGCATCTGCAACCCTACAGGTGTTGCAAATTTTAATGGGCGTCGGTTATCACTTAACATCTAGTGAACCGCCGTCAACATCAGGTGAACGTGTTGTCTACAACTTTCCATCAGCTCTTTCTTTAAGGCCATTCGAGATTGCCCATTAGTACTGTTGTTACTATGCCTTGGTCAATTTTATTAAGTGTCAAATTGAATTATTTTTTAATAAGCAATACTACTAAGATTGTACTAAATTCTTCATTGATTGCAACATTGATACAGGTTTAACTTTTATATTATTGTCATTAATATATTTCAACTCAATTTATTATATCAACCCTTCGTACAGTGATGTGAGGCAGTGAGGGCCTATAATGACAAATTTGCCATTAAAATCGCGAAACTAAGTAATATCCCATACATTATATGTGCCATGGCTGCACAAAGGCCCCCTCTCTCTATACATGATGTTTTTTTTTTATGGAGAAAAGGGGCAAACGAGCAGGAGGCTCACCTGATGGTAAGTGATTACCGCCGCCCATGAACACCTGCAACACCCGAGGGCTCATAAATGCGTTGCCGGCCTTTTAGAAAAGAGTATGCTCTCTTCTTGAAGGTTCCCAGGTCGTAACGGTTCGGAAAGACCGCCGGTGGCAGCTGGTTCCACTGGTGTAAACAGTATCGAAGCCCAATTAGTTTAAACGTTTGAAATTTCTTACATGCAATAATTGAGCTTACATGCCCTCGTCACTTATAACTCTCATAAAAGTTACGTACAAAAACTCAATTTTATTAACTCATAATTTATATTTTTTAGTAATTTTCGATTAAAAAAAATTTTTGAATTTTATCTTGCATTATTTTCCTGTAACGCTTGTATTTGTAACGTGTAATTTGTAACGTATGTAGTTATAGCTGTAAAACTTGCCTCCAAAAAGATGCCTGTATTAAAAATGTTTGTAAAAATGTCGCTTTTGCTATTAAAATTTATTTTTTATCTTTAGTCGCGTGCTTGTCTTATTAATTTTCAAAATATTTTGCGAAAATTTCCTCACATTTTAAGTTTCGTATTAAATGCAGAGACTAGCACTAAAAAAAATGGAAGAAAATTATAAGGTTTATACTTTGTCCCTTTCTATTTTTATTCCGCAATAAAACACAAGTTGACTAACTATGTTAGTTAGATATTCAGAGAAGTAAAAGAAATTTCTTTTAATACAAAGAACCGTATTGATTTAAAAACCGATAGACGAGTTTATCTTTCAAAAGAAATTATCTTAGCGATCACATTCACCTATTTATATAATGTATCACGCTGATGTTTAGTATAATTCGGAAGCTTTGTGTAGAAGTGAGTGCATAAACAAGAAGGGTTCTTTCATTTTGTAAATATTTTATTTTGAAACGGACCACGGCGCGGCCAAAAGCAAGTACGACCTTTTTATCTGAACCGGATGTTGCTTTCATGGCAAAAATGTTTTATAGGCTGGAAAATTTTTTAAAGTTATGAATAATCCACAAGCATTTCTACATTTATGTTTTGAGATTGTGTACTCGGGTACAAATCGTGTCATATATCATCGCTGCATCATGCCTACGAAAATAAATCAATTTGCACCCATTTTTATGTGAAAAGCAGGCAAACCAGTTGGCGGTTCACCTGATGTTAAGTGATAACCACCACCCATTGACATTTGCAACGCCCTTTTAACACCTTTTAACAACCTTTTAATAAAGTAGGCGTCTATCTCACTCACCACACGAAACACGGTATAACACTTCCACATTCCACCGGTTTTCTGTGAGGTGGTTACCCGGACGGACCGGCCCATTCGTGCAACAGAGAAGACTTTTGCATAACACTACCACAGAAATATTACGAAAGCTCAGCTAATGTTCACTCACACGCTAGCTCGATGGTGGCCGGCTGACTCCTGATCTGGCCTTGGCTGGTCCACGCGAAACAGGAGCACTGGTACTTCTCGCTGCCGAAGTACTCCTCGACCTGTTCCCTCGTCACTTCGTATTCACCCTCGATTATCCGCACACCTGTCTGCGGGTCCACGAACTCGAAATTCCTCGCCTGCGTCTTCTCGCCGTTGCACTTGAAGTACACCTTGGAACGAACACTCCCTTTAATAAAGTACAACAGGATACTAAACACAAGAACAAAAGAAACGAGTCTTGAATGGAACAGTCTGGATCATTTAAACTAACCTACGTACAATCCATTACGGTAACTTATCCGTTCAGTTGCAAACGAAACTCGTGTAGTTGCATTGATTCGCTGAAGATTTTAGTTTTGTTTTTATTTTTTTTTATTTCTCAAATATGTATAATGGAAGCTAAGCGACAAAATACTACTTATTAAAAATTTGATTTTGAAATCTATTGAAAGATGAAAGAGCATTTTATTGTCAAAAAATTGCTTATATTAATGGACAAAGTTAAAATTATGGACTTTCTTCCGGAACCCTTCTTTCGCTAGTCCGACTCGTTCTTGCTCGGTTTTTATTATTATGTACGCTAAAAACAATACATTCTAGTTATAATAACAGACACATGTGTATCAAGATATATTTATATATAAATATAGTAGAATTATTTATTACGAAAAAAGAAATATTAGACTTTTTGTTTTAAAAGCAAAATTACAAAACAAAGCTTAAATAGCTCAAAAGAGAATAGTGTATGAATGAGTGACTTTGTAACAATATTCGAAAATGTGTCTTGTTTTTTACTTTGATTAAATTTTTATATTAACTTAACGTTTTTTTTTGTCATACCGATTGATTGTTTTAAGCATTTACAAAGTATTTGATGACCCTTCGTTAATCAATTCTAATGAGAACCTAAAAAATGTCGTAAGTCGCATACGCGAAAACCTGTTTTGTGACGGCTCCTTGACATCCATCGGCATTTACCAATGTGATTTCCATGTTTCAGATTTATTAATAACAAAAAAACGGTCTAACATCGGTGTTCGCCGTCAAGGTTATCACTAGAATCGTAATTAACAATCGCTGACTTTCTATCCCTTACAGTCAAGAGGTATTTTTATGCGAAAAGTTGTCTAACGAGCGAGCGATTTTGATGTTAGTGATTACCGCTGTCCTTAGACATCTGCAACACCTGAAGGGTAGTAGATGTGTTGACAAACATAGAAAAAGTGGACCCGAGTTACGTTACTCCATCACCTGCCTCACAGTTAAATTAACTTCCCCATTATTCGGTAGACAGACATCGATCTGATCTTTCTAATACGTGGTGAATTCTAAACCGTGTTGTATATAAGTGTGAATACGGCCTTATGGCAGGCGATTCGTTCAGAGGTTAAATGATAATAAGTTGACAAAAGATCCTAACAACATCTTTGCTTATAAGCTTCTATCCTAATTTTTTTTAAATAATCGACATTACCCTTGAATGTTACAATTTTTCTCAATGCTACACCATTTGTACACGGCACATGAATTTACCATAGACCAACTGAAAGACAGCACCATTACCATTTGCAAAACTCTCGAAAGTAATGTTACAAAGTAAGCAATCATTGTAACCAAATGTTAAACTTATCTTGAACTTTTTTGTAATTACGGTGAACAGTATACTAATTGGCTACAGTCACATTTAAGTGGCGTTTTACACATTTAGTCGTTAACAATGATATCAAATAGCAGTTCTATCTGTCTAAGCACATACATTTTTATATTTTATGTGTATATGTTTAAGTAATTATATATTACTATATATAAATATTTTAATGTAATAATTGCACCTACCACGATTTCTCACCACGCCCTGGGTTGACTGGGAGAGAATACCAAAAGGCATTAAGTTCGCCCTTTGTAATCCATTTTATTTAAAGGTTGCAATAAATTATAATTAAAAATAAATAAGTATAAATCAAAATACAATACCGAGTACAGATGTACAAAAATAAAAAACACAACCATATTGAGAACCACTTTCTTTTTAAAATCGTCCGAAACCCGGACCAAAACATTGGCACCGGCAAATCGTCCACTACCCGTACTCACATCCAAAGCGTTAGCGGCGCGGCACTTCAAGGTGGCCGCCTTGTTCTTCACCACGTAAGTGTTCTCAGGCTCCAGCAGGAAGACGGGTAGGTTGTCTTTCGTGTGCAGCGGTATCTTGTCGTCCGCGGGCTGTTCCCCGTCCAACGGGCGAGCGTCTGCGTCCTTGTATATGACCTCTTTGTGTTCGTAGTCGTAGTCCAAGTAGGAGTGCTCATCGTCCTCCTCGTCGGTCTCTTCGTTGTCGGGGAAGACCGGCGGCAAGAAGTAGTCCCGCGCATCGCTCGGGTGCGCCAGTTCTGAACGCTTATGTCCTACATCGTCTTTGTCGCCAGCTTTCGTCTCCCCGTCACCTAACTGGCGATAGTCTAGAAGGGAATTTTTTTGGCCAAGTGAAGTGTTTGACCAGTTCAAATATTCTATCTAATGTCACTATTCTTGCTAATGTCAAATACCTATATGAATATTGAAACTGGTCGTAAATTAAATTTGACGGATTTTATTGGGTTTTTTTTTTTTTCATTTATTTTGCCGACATTTCAATCACTTTCAGCGATGTTTATGGGACAAAATTAAACTATTTGACGGATTTTATCTCGTTTTATTTTGAAAAAAAAAACAAAAAGGGACAGGCTATTTTTAGCTCGTTCAAACTTAAACGTTATAAAGTAAAATATGTTATTGAACTAAATGATTTGTTATGTAATTTTCGATGTTAGAAAGTAAAATACTTTTATATATGAAAATTGATCATTACTTAATTGACTTTACATGTAACTGTAGTAGAATCCCATTTATCGAATGATTTTATTTCTAAATTATTAGGGTTATTTATAATAAATTAACATTTAACTTTAACTTTTAAAATTCTATTTAAATAAGTTAAGATATATTATTTTACAAAAACAAATAAACTTTTTAAATTATCCTAAAACAAATAAGTAAAATGCATAGAGCAAAGGGTTGTAAATAACAACTGTTTGACGTAAATTTTGTTACGATTACAACTTCGGAAAGTTGATTATTTACTTACCTTTCGCCGTGTTTTGTCCATTTACATATAATACTAAGTGCGTGTAAATAACTAAGACGAATGTCCCCAACTTCACTTCCATTTATAAACCTATAAATTGCAGAATCATTTAGCAAATCGACAAACGCTTCGTAGTAGGCCATAACGTTCCATAACTAGTCTACCTCCCGCTCACATTGTATCTTCGTGTATATGAAAAATAAAGAATAACCCACACACGCACAAAAGTTTCTAAAACCCGCGCCAGATTGCCAGCAACATTTTAAAACTAACAGAAATTCATCACGTCAATCGCCGCATATAAACGAACGGAATATGAAACGGTGTATATTGTCGCGACGAAAAAGTTTCCGCCAAACCACCCCCGGAGCGATGTGTGTCGACCCCGCCGCGAATTCAATTCAACTAAGGCAGAAGGGTCAGATGAATGGGCTTCGACTCAAAAGAACTTTACTGCGCATGCCTCAAAGTTACAAACTTGAGAACCGCTACCGGTATATGTACGTATCCTGTGTGCTCTTGTAATGACGCTTAGCGATATATAATAATCTTTTAGTATGTCTTTGTAATTAATTCGAGACTAATGTGTCATTTGTATAATAATGTACGTGACGTAAACAACATTTCATTGTTTTTATTCCATTTTATTGGCACAAAAGCGTATATTAATTAGTGGATGAGATTGGCTCCTGAAATACAGGATATCCTAGTTTTGGAGTCAAGACTCCATTAAAAGTGTATCTAAGTGTTCAATAAATTACTTTTATTATTATTATAAGCCTATAAGAGATTGTCTGTTACTATATATACTATAAGAGATCGGTCTTCTGTGGGGTCGTGGTACTTCCCGGGACGATCCTGCCCAGTTGTGTAACAGCGAAAACTGCAGCGTGGCCCTACCACGAAACAATCATCCCAGTCATCATCCCGTCATCATCATCATCATCATTTCAGCCTGTTTTAGTCCACTGCTGAACATAGGCCTCCCCCACAGACTGCCACATTATATCATAACCCCTTATAAATCAGTATTTCTCACAAATCTATTTCAATTTTCCTTTAGAAGTCGGCTGTTGACAGTTGTTGTGTAAATTTTTACTAAATATAATTCGCTTATTTATACGTAAATGTTTTTGCAACTTAAAAGGAGTTTGTGCAGTTAGTGCGATATCAATTTATTTTATAGTGCAAAACCATTAATCATCAGTTTAGATGAAAATCTAGTACTATTTAACTGGAATTAAAAATGGGATATAAGATAAAAAATATAGCTTAGCAAAAAATAAAACACTAAAATGCTGTATTTCTTATTCTTAAAGAACATTTATTTCTTTCATTCTTTTTTAAACATTTCCGTTACTGTAACATAACATACATAGAATAAATTTTATTATTAATCGTAATTCAAAAGACGAAACTTGTATTTTACTAATTCGGTTCGACGTATGCTCCCGAGAACAGTTGCTGGTTGGCCGAGAGCACGAAAAAAAGGAAGGGATGGTCGGCTTTAAAATGAGGGATATCCGGTAATAAGTACTTCCAAATTACGACCACTGAAATAAAAAATGTAGATAAATTACAACAGCGTATGTAAAACATTTTGTTTGCCAGCTGGGGTCAATGTGTGCACATATTGGTATTACCTAACATGTCGTGTTAGTCAAGGCCTTAAATTACGGAGCCCAATATTTGTCCCCGCCATGAATTAAAAATACAAAAGCTTATATATATACACACCGGCACAATTAGCGTAACAGAAAAAAAAGTGAGACTATGAGATAATAACGCATATATTTGACGAAAATGTAATTAGACACAAAGTAACAAATTGATTAACATCTTTTAACAACGACTTTGAAAAGTCTTCGTTATTTTTTATTGAAAAATAAAGAAATTTGAAATAAGTGAAATTTTTAGATGATTATGAACCATCACAAAAAATAAAAAAAAGTAAGCATTAAATGATTTAACAATAAAATTAAAGCAAAATTAATAACGAGTGTTTCCCCCTCTTGCTCTGATTAGGGTTTCCATTCGTCATGCATGCTAGGGCATGCTACAGATTATGTTATCGATGATTTCTTGAGGCAACCGATCCCACTCCTCAAGTAATGCGTTTCCAAGTTCATTCAGATTGTTGGGGAGTGGCATTCTGGATTTAACCCTTCTTTTAGCAAATCCCAGATATGCTCTATCGGATTCATATCGGTGGAATTTGCTGGCCACTGCATCACCGGTATAGCTACGTGGCTCAGATATGCCTGTACCGATTATGCACTATGAGCACGAGCATTATCTTGCATTAGAATAAAGTCGTCACCAAAAATGGGGCAAATGGTACAACATGTTCTTCTAAAATGTCTCTGATGTATCGATCTGCTGTCATGGTCCCTCCTGTGACTATCACTAACTCCGTGCGAGCTCCCAAACATATCCCTCCCCAAACCATAATCGAGCCGCCACCATAAGCCTCTGTGTGTTCAAAATTAGACTGTATGTGGCGTTCTCCTTTGCGTCTCCATATTCGCTGTCTCCCATCGATCTGTTTTAAAAGAACTCTGCACTCATCAGTAAAGAGAACCTGCTGCCATTCGTTCAAATCCCAATGACGATGTTCTCGCGCATAGCTTAATCGGTTTACGCGGTGAGGTCTCTCAAGTTTTGGGCCTTTGGCAGGTATATACGACCCTAAACCAACTTCTTCAAATCTCCTGCGAACTGTACGCTCACTTACTCGTACTACTCGAACGTCTTCCAGTTCATTTCGAGCTTGTACAGCCGTTAATCGCGTATTCCTACGAACTCCAAGTTGTAAAAAACTGTCATCTCGCCTCGATGTACATCTTTTTCTACCTTGACCCCTCCTCCTCACAAGATAATTAGACGGTCTGTACCGCTGGATGCTGCGATGAACGTATGCCTTGAGGCAATCGATCTGTGGGTATGGCCATTTCTTCTCATTTCATCAGCACTAATCATTTCCAGTGATGTTAAGTCAGGCATAATAAAGAGCTTTTAATAAACAAAATTTCCTATAGAATAACAAATTTATAAAAAATCATTAAGTGCAATTTTTCAAAAAAATTACAATTACGTAGTTATTACTCGAACAAGTTGACAAAACGTATTGTTCGGGAAAATAAAACAAATGAATGAAAAAAGTGTATGTCATCTAATTTTCTATTTTCAAATTTGACAATAAATTAAAAAAAAATCATAACTGGCCAGTTCCTCAAGTAAAAGATTTTAAAATCCTGCTTTTTTTTGTGTTCCGCTAATTGTGCCGGTGTGTATATATTATAAATAGTATCTCAGTAAAGGAGTCTAAAATCACTGTAAGTCACTCTCCGTACCAGTAGAATTCAAATACGTATATGCCAATTGTGGGTAACAGTGCAACTGTGTAACTAAAATGTTAGCACAAGCAAAATAACTCATTAGTACGTGTAAAAAGACAAGGAACGAAAAATTTGATGATAAAGCTATTATTAGAATACCTTTACTGCCGGTACTGTGGTTTAATTAAAATCACATTTTTTCATTCATATGTTTTTTCTTTCAAATATAAAATATAAGTACATATTTTGTGTGTTATAAGTAAAAATACATATGTTGTGTGTATTTTTTTTAACTCATTAAAAAAATACACACAAAATATGTATTTTTACTTCGTCAGACCTTGAATATACCAGACCGTACCAGAGGCAGAACTGCCAAAAAACTATAAAAATCAGAAATGATTAATAAAAAAAATAAAAGGTACTAAATTCAGTGAGTTATTAATACATATGACATATACATGAGTCGATATACTTTTACTTCTTATTTAAGAAGTAAAAGTATAAGTATTTATGATGACTCCGTGGCGCAGTTGCCAAGTTATTGGCTTCGGCGTCGGGGGTCGTGGGTTCGATTCCCACACGGGACAACTATTTGTGTGACCCACAGATAGTTGTTTCGCATCTGGGTGTTTGTCCGCGTGAAATTTATGTTTGTAAAACGTCCTTTACAACACAGGATAATATTATCCTAAAGTAAGGGCAGTGTTTTTAAAAAAAAAAAAAAAAATAAAAAAAAAAAAATAAAAAAAGAATGCATAAATAAATATTTATAATATATTTTATACTGTTTAACTTTGCTAAAGTGGTTGAATATCCTTAAGTTCCCAAAAGAACTAATTATAAAAAATATTTTAGGAATGCTTTAATAATCCCAAAAAGTCACAAAGGTAAAGTAAAAAAAAAAAAAAAAAACAACTAACTTTTGCTATTAAATTTAATTCATACAATTTATTAGTTTAGAAACATTTCAAGTATTCGTAACTTGGACAAAGATTAATGTTTAAAAGATATTAATTTTTTGGCTTCTAAAATATTTTATTTTCAAATTGTTAATACAAACACTGAAAGGAATAGCTGTTGAAAGCTAAGAATCAACATAAAATAAAAGTTAAGATGAAATTAGAAAAAAGAAATAATACAAACGAAGAGCGGTGAACCCGAAACTAGTAAATATCACAGATAATTATGATATCAGAGATAAGTGAGATAAGTACTAACTCAGTAGCTTCAACCAAAAAGATACCGTCTTTGTAAGCGATGTTTAGCGATAAGATTAAGCGGAAAATAAGATTCCACACACATATAATTGAGAAAAGTAGCATTAAAAGCCATAGAGATTAAATTGTTAACAGAAGGCCAAAAATTTGTTCGGTGATAGAGGTTAAATAAAGGTCAGACAGGGAACAGATTAATTATCCAAGCTGTATATAAGCTGTTTAAAACGCAAGTTCTTGGAATTACCTGAAATGTTTCGAAAATCTTAACTGTAAGTGCCAGAAAACAGCTGCTGAGAATTGGCCATGACATAAAATAGAAACGGACGGTTCGCGACGAACTGTTGCGGTATCACGGCGCTTAAATATACAACAGCTGAAACACCGAAATAAGCGTAGTTTCTATAAAGATTTATAAAGAAGAATTACTTATAAACAAATTGAAATACACCGTAGAATATTTATTTGGGAAATGTTTCAATCAATTCAATGACGTAATACAACTTTATGCATCAAATCCCGTACGTCGTTGCATCATTTGGTGGTAGTGAGCTGAGTGTGAGTGGTGTGAACTGAGAGTTGAGTGGCATGAACTTGTGTATTAATTTTTATGTAAAATTCAACGTTTCATAAGAACGCGCAAGCGTCTATTTGAATAAATATATATTTTATAATATGTTTTGAATTTGAATATAAAATATCCAATTTATCGCGAACCTCTTCGGAATTTCTATAAATAAACATTTCTCTTCATGTCTGATCAAAAATTAGGATTGGTTGGTGCAGATTTTGTTAAAAGATGTTTAGCACGATAAATTTGGCATTTCGCTTACCAGAGGAGGCCGCAGCTTTCGTTCCCAGCTCATTGACCTCAATTACGGCCTTCTGTATCGCTGCACTGACAGCCAGCTTCTCATCACGCACGATACCAGTCAATCCAGACTTACGTCTATCAAATACCGAACTCAGTCCAATCTGTAATAAAATGCCAAAACTTAGTACATTACGGACGTTTTATCTTTATTGATGTAGTAATATATGTTTATTTTAATAGTTGATTTTAAGCAAAATGTTTTTTCAACCTAGGGCGAGAGTAAACATACTGACTAGTTAATTCACGACCTATAATACTGAAGGCAGTTAATCACTGTATAAATGGAGTTATGGTTTAAAAAATCCATAAACACGATTTTGTAGCCAGAAATCCGAAAAACCTTTTGATTTATGAATAAAAGAGACTGCATGATGCGTATTCACATGTTCAGGTCAATTTTAATTTTAATTTGACTGACATCTGGATGATATCAAATTTTGCCACCAGGAGACTATTCTATATTGAAATATTCTCCTAAAAAATAACGCTGTATTAGTTCAAAAATTTAAGGATACAAAAGGTCACAAGTTATCCTAAGATTGGGAACCCAAAGTAAAGTAACAGCCTATAAATGTCCATTACTGGGCAAAGGCCTCCTTGGCAAAGAGAGTATACCGACATATTTATACTATAATACGGCGAATTGACATGCTTTGCATATCTTTGATTTTTTTTACTAATCCGAAAATATGCACGTTTCCTCACGATGTTTTATTACACCGTTGAGCACGTGATAAGTAAGCACTTACAATTGTAATTGACAATTTCATCGATGCTTGCACCGGGAACTGAACTCACAACACGCACTTTTTAAATAACACTTACATTTCTGTATAGGTCGCCTAGATCCCATTGGGACTCGATTCTGAATTTGGGCATGGTTAATTGTATATTCGTCGACTTCATTCCGTCTACCGCCTGTGCCAGCAACTTCGGGTTTCTCTTGAGCCGTTTCAATAAACTCTGCAACCCGCTTTTTTCATTCGGTAGCACTATCAGGAATGAAGATTTCGCACCGACGTATGGTATTCGAATTAACTGTTAATAAAGGCAGTATTAAAGTGTTTAATTGTATTGGATTTAGCTTATAATTATCTAATAAGATTCAGGTCGCAATGCAATCATTCCATTATGTAGTATATTTACTTACAACAGTATCAGTATCTTTTTTTTTATGTGAGAAGGTAGCAAGCGAGCTAGCGGTTCATCTGATGTTAAGTGATAACCGCCGCCGTATACCCAAAACCCATAGGGTTGCAGATGTGTTGCCCCCTTTTAATAAAGTGGGCCCAGACTACCACACTCACCAGACGAAACGCAGAAGTATAACGTTCCACTTCACGCCGGTCTTCTGTGAGGTCGTGGTACTTACCCGGACGGACCTGCCCATTCGAGCAACAATAAATACTGTTGTTTAGACCTACCACTGTAATAGACGTCAAAAATCTTAAAAAGAGAAACACGGATAGCCAAAAAGGCGCATTAGACATGCAATGTAGTACGATTTATCCAGTGTAGGATGATCCTCCTCGAAAGGGATTGACGACTTGTGCAAGTGTGCGGGAAGTCGATGGATGCAGATGGTTCAGGATCGTGCTTCGTGGCAGTCTTTGGGCGAGGTTTATGTTCAGCAGTAGACTCAAACAAGCTGAAATGATGATGATGATAACATATGTAATGTTTTTATTTATCCAGTTCTCTCAAGCTCTTTCTTCCTTCGTTATATCTTTCTTCTCTCTGACATAAACGTGAAATCATTGAAATTACATTCCCAATTCCATTCAATTATCGACTTGATCATGTAGGTTTTAAAGACAGTTTATGTATTAGTGGTTAACTCTATCAGTTCTATCCACAACACCTGCAGCTAATACATATTCAAATACAGCACTGTCCTAAGAGAACATTATAAAAGCGTGCTACGTAATAAAATAAGGGAAATTGAGTAACACACCTGGGCGGATAATGTTTTACTGTCTTTGTAATAGTACCACGCGGTATTAGTCATCATAAAAACTTTCTTATCACGTTTCGGAGAATAGAAAGTGCCTGGTGCCACTTCACCAAAAGGATGTTCCCATTTGCCCTAAAAAAAGAAATTTTCTTGTCATGACTTGTCTAGAATTATAAGAGTGATTTAAAAATTGATTTACTTTTAAGGTAATGGTAATAATTAAAAGTTTGTAATGTCATCGAACTAATATATGTTACTGACTTATACTGATGGGTAAAATTTAGATCACGTGCAGATGAAAGTCAGAATGAAAATGTTTTTGTGTAAGCTTAAACGCATATCATTTAATAGCAGATTCGATGTCGTGGCAATGAAAATCCAAAGAAATTTTTGAAACGTTAGGAAATTAAATTAAATAAGTAATGATTTTACGTAATTCAATGTTCTGTTTATCGTTAATTCAATAATAGTTAATGTTAGTATCACTTATTTACGAAATTACTTATAATTTTACTGTCGAGTTTATTGTAAAATGACAGAAGAAAAATAAGACAGCTGAACTTAACGTGTTAAACCGGTGCATGTACTGACACATCGGATATCCCTCATCCTTCCGATCCCTCGGGGTGAGTTCAAGTTGGTCAGGTAAGTCGGGTTGGCTCGCGGTCGCGCCCCGTCCACATTGTGCGAGTCACCGGTTTAACGTTAGTACAGCTGTCTGATTATTTCGTTAATGTCTCACGAAAGTTTTAATAATTTTATGACAGAAGAAAATTATAATTAACATGAGAAGAAAAATGTCAAGTTGTACAAAACGTCGCCCTTTTGGAGTGTTAATTATTATCATTATTTGGGTCACCCGTGCGGTCATATGTGGACGGATGCACTTATCATGATTATTTCAATAATAAAGAGAGAGAGAGAGAGATTAAATCAGAAAACCAACCGCAAAATATATGGCATTTACAATAAGCAGCGAAGATCTAGGTGAAACATCTTGCGGCGATATTATTTCAGGAATCATTCCGTGAGTTTTCAATGCCACCTGAAACCACATGCAATTTTTGGTAAAGGCATTATGGATACGAGTTATGTTAGAATTCATATTATATTAAAATGTCTGCTACTACATCAGTTTTTTATAGTCATTATAGCTGCTATACTAATCCAGGTGGGTTGTGATAAATTTATTGCCGTCACAAATTTTGTTGAAATTCACATTATGTGAACAGAAATTCAATAGCGACCGGGTAAACTTGTTTAAAACTTGTTTGAGATTTCTCTTAAGCGAATAGGAAAACAATTACGAATTTTCAACTAAGAGAAAAATTCTGTAAGTTACATTTTAGGGACGTGAATTGGAATAACCATTTTTTATTAATGACTTGATGATAAAAAAACCGACAGCAAATATCTCGGTATGTATTCAATTTATAACTGGTTTTCAGAAGTTCCCTATGTGTCACAGGAGCCCAAGATCCAATACCAATGAAATTAATATGGAACCAATAAAAAAAGGATCATCAAAATCGGTTCACTCTGTCGAAAGTTCGAGAATTATTACTTTAAAAAAAAAAAAAAAAAAAACAATTCCTCCCAATATTTTCCTTGAAAAAATAAACTTTCCATAGTTGTAGCCCCGTCTTATAACGCGAACAATGATGTCTTAAACCGCTTAAGACCTATTGGTACAAAGTTGAAAGCCACGTAATAAATAAAGCAGGCTGATTTTTTTTTTGTGAGAAGGTGGCAAACGACCTAGCGGTTCACCTGATGTTATATGATAACTTGCAGCAACTTAAGGGTTGCAGATTCGTTGGCGCCTTTCAATAAAACGGCCCCGGCTACCTCACTCACCAGACAAAACGCACGGACACTTCTACTGCACGCCGGTATTCTGTCGGACCCGGACGGGTAGCCCATTCATTACCCGGACTGGGCCACCCTACCCATCATAGAATAGCGAACGCTTTACAGTTGCGTAAGGTGGCCTGGCGCAACCCTAGCCTGAACCACAGTGATAATAAACATTTATAAATAAACCACACGGTGTGTTACATACCCAATCGTTGACGCTTTTCGCCACTGTAATAGGTTCATTGAAATCAGCTTTCTCTATCGAGGTCTTAAAGATCCTCTTCGCCGCTTTCGTGTAATTCTTAAAAAGTCTCTTGTCGTTGGATATGTATAATCTGCTCGCCACATCCAACGTAACCCCCTCGAGATCCCTCAGGCTCTCGATCAGATCGGATAAGTGTTTCTCCAACTAGCACATAAACAGTATTCATTGTTAAAACACCTAATATATAAAGTCACAACAAAATAAACGAAGCCCATAAAATTAGTTGTTCTTATGGATATTATGGATCACTTGGCGCTGGCGATTTTTCAACGAATATAAAATCCAGGGACTCCTTTTAATAATATATTTTAGTTTTTATATTATATATTTTTTAAGGTTTTTAGTTTTAGGCTACAGTTATATTATGTGAACATATTAGTAATATCATTCAGTTATCTTAAATATGATAATTGCATTAGTTATAAAGCTATATTATTGTAAAGTTTCAGTAAGTGTAATACTTCTATATTAAATAAAAATCCATGTACTAGTTGGGCTTTTCCGCGAATGAAAAGTGATTACAAAATTCAACCGCTCATTTTTAATTCTAAACGGGAGGATGAAAAGGAGTATATGAAAAAATCCCTAGGTGTTTTAGGAGTCATGTGTAAAAACTAAATAAGCATATGTCTACTTATGTACGCACGTAAGAAGTTACACTTCTTTAGCGTAACAAAAGAAAAATAACTAGAAATTTTATCCCATGTTTCAGTACTCTTGGGTTGTAAAGAAGAAATTAAATGCAACGGTTAAATGAAATAAGATGTGTCTGTGGCGCAGTTGCCAAGGTATTGGCTTCGGCGTCGGGGGTCGTGGGTTCGATTCCCACACGGGACAACTATTTGTGTGACCCACAGATAGTTGTTTCGCATCTGGGTGAAAACGTCCTTTACAACACAGGATAATATTATCCTAAAGTAAGGGCAGTGTTTGAAAAAAAAACTAAAAAAAAAAAAAAAAAACTTGCTATTATACGTTACTGTCAAAATCGCTGCTCACTGTAAAATTTGTAGAAAAAAGTACGAATAGTTTTTGCCGTTGTGGGATTCGAACCAACGTCTTCAGGACTCGCGGCCTGACGCTTTAACCAATAATTGTAAGCTGATATCGCATCGCTTTGAACAAATGGCTGATTGCCACCGAGACGAAAATCTCAACGTCTTTTATCTACATGGTTGGTATCATAATGCAATGGTTCGATTCCCACAGGGCCGAAAACTCGCAGTCTGTTATCGAGAAGGCGTTACCGAGACGTGGTCTTTTTCCAGTTAAATTGGAACCCGCACGGCGCGGTCTGCAGTGACGTTGTCGTATAACTTGACGTTTAATCTCGGCGTCCCCGTTAGCACAAAGGGTTCACAATTTTAATTATGAGCATGCCCCATTTCAAGTGCGGCATTTAGCGAGGCGGGGGAACAAAGTGTTTTTTCCTCTTCGCCCGTATTATGTCACGTATACGCGTTCAAAGGTGGTCTCCCGTTGCGGGAGAGACATGTAAACATATGCGTAAGAGTTGAAAGTAAAATAGACAACGAGTGATTAATATTATCCGTGTAAGACGAGCTTGGTATTTTAATCATCTGATTCGGATTACATGTGAAGAGACTTGGCCGTTGTATTTCGACTCGCTTTGTCGTTCAATGAATTACTGTTTCACTCATTTTTGAAGGTTTTTGTTACATTTTTACATGTTATTTAAGCTTACTAAGTGGGAAAGGCAACATTTGGTTTAGCTATTGCCCTCCAATAAAAGAAATTGAGATTTGAACCGAATATCATAACGTATCACAGTGTTTTACGTATAAAATATTTGTATTAAAACGATGACGTGTTGACCCTAGGGCTAAGTAAGCCCATGCTTAATAGTGGCGTCTTCAAGGCAAGAGTATATAGGTTTTGTACTGAGCTAGCGCGCTTACCATCAACGAATGTATCGCTATTTACCATCAGCTGGAATGGCAGTCAAGTGCTGGCCAATTTTGAATTAAAAAAAGTAGTAGTATAATTTTTAAAAGAGAAGGTAGCAAAGTAACATGCGATCCACTTAGCGTTAAGTAGTTAGCGTTGCTATATAGGACTATCTATTATAATAATCTTAAAACTTAGAAGGAAATACTATAAGATTGTAAAGAGTGAGAACTAATACCGAGAAGTTCCCTAACGGTATTTGTCTGTTCACAGAAATGTGAGATACAATTCGACGTGTTTATTTTGCGAGTGCTGAAGTCGCCATGGCTAGTTTCCAAATAGCCGTTGGCGACAAAACGAGGAAGATTGGTTTCAGCAATTTACCTAATAGTTCTATAGACCTTAGAATGTTTACTTTGACGTATTAAATATTATTTTTATAAATAAAACTTAAATTATCATTGCATTATATACAATACAATCTTATAGCAAATGTTACTGGTTGACGGTTGTTAAATATATAAGAATAGAAAGAAATAGATAAAGAAATTTTGATTTCATTTTAGCCTGATAAAAATATAAAAGATCATAAACGATGACATCAAAGCCCTATAGATTACCGATACCAACTTTTTTGGTTTCTTTTTCTTCAGTTTTATCCACGCAGTTTTTTTCCTAAATCCTAAGGAATTTGTCATATTTCAGTCAATTTACACATAACCTTAACGAGTACAACGTTAAGATTTCTAAAGAATCTCGCCGTCCATAAGTGAACCGTTTAAACATCCGTTAATTACTTGCTAAGCTTATCGAGGTCAGACAGACAGACATGATTTTAGTTAAATTATTGTTATATTATAACTTTTAAATGACAGACCACCGACTCTGAATGTTCGTCCGAATAGTCTTCGTCGAGTTCGTCATCGGATGACACCCCAATGGCTTTGTTAAGTTCCTTCAGGCCGGCACCTTGTGCACCCAGGGCCAACTTGCCCAGGGGGAGTAGCGCGGATATCGGCGAGCACACGCCGTTTTCGTCTGGGTCCCGCAAAGACGCAATCTAAACGTACACATACAGTCAAGTTGACTCCGTGGCGCATTGCCAAGGTATTGACTCTAACGAGGGTCGTCGGCTCGAATCCTACATGGGACAACTATTAGTGTGACGACCCACAGATAATTTTTGGGAATACCTCATACATAACTAATAGTACTTTTGGCAAACTTGCTCATGTAATTTTTTTGAATGATACTTATCGTAACAGGGCTGAAGTTGAAATGGATGTGTTTGACTTTGGGCTCACCGGCCAGGTACATTTTCCGAATAGGAATAAAATTCAGTAGGACACTTCCACTTCATGTTCTGACCTATAATAAAATTTATTCAATTTAAAATAATCATTCTTAATTTTGATAATTAAGAATGATTATTTTCATTCATGAATAGAAGGATGCAAAAGGCATAATGCTTGATTTGACGGACATAACATAACACGATTCAGTTTTAAGAAAATTTTGATGCCTAATTCTAATAAATAACTTATTAAAAAAAATACTAACCAGTCCGAAGTGTTGTCTTAAGGTCCCCCTTAAATCGAATGCTTTCGAACTGTCTTGTTCCGTACTTTCATAATCATCCGACTCATCTCTTGCATATTTCTTTTTTGCTGTTACGTCAGCAATTATTATTGCAAACACAGGAACTACAAACATCAATTCTATTCTTTAGATTCACATACTGTTTCTATTGCAAGAAAGTACTAACTAATAAGCACTAATAGTGCATGTAGGTAATGTCTGTCCAGAAAATGAAGTTACAATGGTATCTTTCTGCATTACTGTTAATTGTTATACTTTGTTTTTATTTTTTATGTGACAAGGTGGCAAACAAGCTGGCTGTTCACCTGATGTTAAGTGATAACCGCCGCCCATGGGCATTCGACCCGAGGTCCGTGATTTCACCAAAAATATTAATTATTTTAGTTTACTAATATAGTAAAAAAAATAAAAAATACTTACTCAAGAGGTAGATTTTCATAATATTTTTTATAGGTGAACAAGGCTCTTGCTACCAATTTAAGTGAATCCCATTATAGAAAAATCAAACATGATATCTACTGTTAGATAAAATGACCGTTAAAAATCTGCGTAGAAAATTTTTCAATTACGTTCGTAATCACGGATTTTCATGGAAATTAATTTGTACTTAAGTTCATTACACCTTTAATGAGTATGCAACTCATTAAATGCTCAAATCAATATACCCTTAACACTAGTTACCTACTCTTGTGCATAAAATGAAAAAACAATGTAGTTAGGTAGTTAGTTTTTATAACACACTAGTTTACGTCCGGAAAACGTATTAATTAATTTGTAATAAAGATATATAAAATAATTAGTTATTAGTTAGCTTTTGTTTTCTGACATACCAAAGATTTTAAGTCGGTTTTAGAGTTTAAAACTCTTTATTTTGGTTCGCAGTCATGTGGATTATTGTTCTGTCGTATGGTAGCTATCTTATCAAAATAATATTCAGCGTAAAAAATTCAAAAATTATTTTTAAATAAAATATCTTATGTAAGTGGCGTTCATCGTACAATTCGCGGATACTCTGAAAGATTAGCTCATTTTCAATTGTTATCATTAGAGCAGCGTAGGAATCTGCTGTATATAACTTTCTTACATAAACTTTTTAATAAAGAAGTGGATTGTCCTTTCTTAATATCGCAAATTAACCAAGCCAAAAAGGTGCCCAAAGCTTCAACAAGGTTGTGTAATTATAATCCCTTCGGTGTAAATTTTAATAGCAATAAATATGGTAGCAACTCTCCTGTATGTTTTATGATGTAAATGTAGATACAATGAAATTGTCGATAAATGTAATATAGATCTCTTTAGCAATGATCTGGGTTCCTTAAAAAGAAATTATTTCTAACTATATTCAAACTCGAGATAAAAACCTTTAAATTATAAAATGTTAAGCTCTCCACTATGATTAATTGTATTGCATAGAATAGTATTTTTTTTTGTTTATGTTATATTTACGGTGGTAGAGCCACGCAGCAGCCTCGGCTATTGCACGAGTGGGCAGGCTCACCCGGGTAAGTACCACGACCTCACAGAAGACCGGCGTAAAGAGGAAGTACGACAAATACTTTTGCGTTTCGTCTGGTGACGGTGAGTGCGGTAGCCGGAGCCCAATTTCCAAAAAGTGACAACATTTTCGCATCTGCGAACCCTCGGGTGTAGCAGATGTCTATGGGCGGCGGTATTCACTTAACATCAGGTGAACCGTCTGTTCATTTGGCAACTTATCACAAAAAAAAAATCATCATTTGTTCATTTTAAGTTTCATATATGGAAATGTTGTGCATACCTTTAAGTTAATATTTACAATTACAATTGCCAACAGAAGTAATTTTAAATCTTTATTAATAACGTTATGTATTTTTTTTTTCAAGTAACTCGATTTGATTGGCTATAAAAAAGTAGATTTAACGTTTAAATTTTGTATTAAACGATTCACAAGTAAAGTACTTTGCTAAAATACTTTTTAGCATGATTCAATATAAAAATTTCGAGTCTAAATAAATTTCGTTTTCGGGTGAAAAATCTGTGTGTCCGGTCGGATAAAACTTAAACAAAAGAAGTGTAGTTGGCTTTATCCGAAGAGTTCTGGAGCAGACGACTTCTCAAAGCTATTTTCGGTCGACATCCTTACCATAGAGTACCTTATTCATATTGAGAAATTCCGACCGAACGAAAATCTCAACGTTTTATGTATACAGCGTGTCGTTACCATCGCGACAATAAAGGCCCATTTACACGATGCCATTTTCTTGTAAATACAAGAGCAATAATTGAATGCAATAAATTGCGCGCAATAATTGTTTAGACAATTTGTTGTTTAGACCATGCAACTCATTTATTGCTTCAATTTAATTGTATACAACAGGCAAGAAACTGGCACCATGTAAATGGGCCTTTAATGAACACACGTCTAACGCTACTTGCCAATAATCATAAGAAAATATTAACGTTAAACAAAATCCACAATTAAAAAAACATATTTTTCAAACAAACTAATTAAGTAAAAAAGAAACGAAATTTATAACATGCTATACAACTCGCGCCACAGCGTCGCATTACAAGCCTCTCCTTAATGTATGTTTTGTCTCTTTTAAATTCATTCAACCCATTCATATGCTTTGTGACCTTTACAAATGAACTTCACGTTACAGTTTTATACGTAAGGATGTTCTAAAATTGTTTGTTTTGGAAAATTTTATAACTCGATAAATATTGATGTTTGAAGAATGTAAATGTTTAATACAATTTAAAAAGGTATCCTCTTATTATGTGTGTTCATTTATTGTTGCGGTGGTAACGATGTATAGTGCAGAGACTAGCACTTTATTAGACCTCATAAAGCTGGAATGGTCAATTGGGCAGAAACACTCAGAAAACTAAGAGCATATTTAGTGCTAATTTAATTCTGCAAAATTTTATTTTAATTACTAAAACTGCTATTTTTTTACCTTTACCTTTTGGGTATCACTAGGACTTCGCTGTCTGACCATGACTGTCCATCTGTCACCAGGCTGTATCTCACGAACCTTGATACACAGTTGAAATTTTCACAGATGATTGGTTTTTATTGCCGCTATAGCAATAAATACTTAAAAACAGAATAAATATTATAGTGGGCATCCCATACAACGGACATGATTTTTTTCCGTTTTATAGATAATGGTACGGAATCCTTCGTGCGCGAGTGCTTAATGACCCTGAATGATAATTTTTATTTTCGTAAGCGAAAATTAATGAAGAAAATATGCGAAAATAATTAATTTACGAAACCACTAATCTTAGAAAGTTAAATAAGCGAATTATCATACGCCCCTAAATATGTTAAAACAATAATTAGTTACATTTTAATAATCTCTGTTACCTACCAACACTGTAAACTACTAAACGTCAAATAAACTTCAAATTTCAATTGGGAGAGGTCAGTGTTTATCGTAATCGCTTCAACTGTAAATAATTCAGGTTCAGTAATTTCATAAATGTAATTGAATAAACAAATAAACATATATTTATCCCTTTATTCTAAAATTGTGCTCCCGTACTTATATCATGCACAATTTAGTTAGCTGTAACAATTGACAAAAGAGTTGTCGGTGTTATCGATTTGCTTTTTCAGATGATCAAGATGATTCCGGGCGAGATATTTGCAGAAGATTTGATGAGTACTGTGGTCAGATATGGACTATACATTGGCGCCGCTTTTCAACTGGTTTGTTTGTTAGCTTGTGTAACTCTTACGGATGAACAAAGCGACTCCCACCCGTACGAGAAGGTAAGTCAGTTTTTTGTAACAAGAACCATATACATATATTAATAATTGTTGTGCTTTGTTTTTATTTTGTGCTATTTCTATTTACATTTCTTTCTCCTGCACTTATCCCACCCTGGCTAACGCCAGGAGATAACTCTCAAGACAACAAAAGGGTCACACAAACACTTCCTGTGTAGGAATCGGACCAAACCCACACCAAAACCAATAGCTTCACCACTGCGCCATGGAGTCATCATTTATATTTATGAAATAGATAATTAATATTGAAAAAAGCTTTAAAGTATCTACTACACAGTACTGTTTTCAAACATATGATGTTTAGAAACATTTTCATAAGCTGCAATTCCTGCGTTCGATTTAACTATTAACTTGTTCAGTGTCACCAACTCGTCCTGCAAGTTCATGATGAATTTACTTTTCGGCAACATTCCTACCACATCTTTGGTATAACAAGTACCCATAGGTTGTGACTTGTAGTTATCAATTATAGGTGAACATCTTGCTTCTTTGGCATCTATAAAATAAAGAAATTTATGACGAATTGAACAATAGTGCTTTGTACATCACTTGTTGATGAGACATCATCAATGCGATTGCAACTAAAGGAATGAAGTGTTTTTTGTAGTTATCAACATGGATATTTCTAACACTAGGATCATGGTTGTAACTTGTTTCCAAATAGTGAAAACTGCTTATTAATAATGAAAATCATTGAGTATCACAAAATTATCAGTATTTTGCAAAGTATACTGGTTTATTATATCAACAGGCCTATACAGATAGTGATGAATGTAGCTCTGAAGCAATCTTCTCCGGGTCACCGTGCGACTGTATCACGAGCACGCCGTCATGACAAGAAGAAACGGCGCTAGCTCAAAACTAAAATGTGGAAGTAAACATTTCATTACTATTACAATTTAATCCCAAACTTTTGAAATTCGTTACTTTAATTGTATGGCAAATTATTGTTATAGTATTGTAACTTTTCATTATAAGTCAATAGTTAAGTAAGTATGAGCTAATATACTTAATGTTGATATTTATTTTAATAGTGTTGTTATAAGGACAGTGAAAAAGCCCAAAGCGCATCCCTTTATATTTAAAAAGTAATTTAAAAGTTGCATTGTCGCATTTTTCCTTGTACATTCATATTTGATAGATGCAAAACTAGAAAAATAGAAAAATTCATCAATTTATCATTTAAAACTGTTTTCCTAAATGTTTTTAAAAGTACTAGCAAAATAATATGTTGTGTGTAAGACTTGTCGTCTTGTACTTGTAATGCCGCAATTTTTAAAATTTGCATGTCAGCAAAATAAAAGTGATTATTAGGTTAAATTGATACTTGAATATAGTAAATAGGTTAAATTACTTTTTGTCTTAAGTTAATAATAATCAAGTTCATTCAATTTCTACTAAATAATCAAGTGCAATATCAAGTGACAACTATCAATAATTTCCAATTGAAGACATTGCATGCCAATAAAAGATCTGATTTTAATTTTTTTTTACTCTTTTTAAATATGGAAGTATTATTAGCTCTCATTCTCATTTTCTAGTCTTTATCTAGATAATGTGATATAACACATTTGGTTAATGTAATGTAACACATTACATTAACCTTTTCCTTTATGATATTCTATGTATCTTAATCCATGGAATAATTTTTAATAAATAGACGCAAAATCTAAAAAAGCGTTTTATTTGTTATTTCGGTTGGACTAGAACTTTTACAATTTTAGTTATTGCTCACTTACTACTTTTAACAATTAATAAATCTCATAAAATTATTCAACAATTTGTACATAAGCCCTTTAAACCCAACATTAGTATCATAACAACATTAACACATTTGTTTTCATATTTTAAGTAGCACCAATTTTCAACAGTAACATTCATAAATGTCATATATATATATGAATAAAATTTATAAATACGATATTATTCACATTTCTTGTATGGCACCATGAGGCTTATAGAATTTTGTACTTCCTTCATATCACACTAAGTTGCGGTAAATGTATAAATAGTATATAATTGAAAATATATTAATCTTTCTCAAACGTTCTTACATATATGTATACATATTGATAATTGAGTAAACATTATTTCTGTATATACACTTCTTCCAATATAACTTTACACCAGCCAATAAGCTCAGACACGAGTATTAAAATCATTCATAAAAATCCCTGTCAAAATTATTTCGATGTCGCTGTAAATTAAGAACAGAGTATTGTTCAAAACAACCAGATTGTTTCTCGAGGTATACAAGTAGTTTTTTTTTATTAGTATAATTACAAATACAGCATTATTAATAATATGCCCATTATAAAAAATCTTATACTCAAGATTATATCTCCTTCTTTGTGTCCTTTAATTATGTCCTTGTATAAATATGAAACAGGAGTCTATTATCGCTTTTTTAATGTTTTATTGTTTTAGCTGTTAATATTAGTATACTTATTATTTGTTAAATTTATTAGGAATAAAAATAATTCGGACACAGGCTAACAGGCATATTAACAATAACCCCATAATGAACATAATTATGAAGCATATAACACCCTGTGTTGTGTGAAGAAATGTCAAATAATTAAATATTCTCAAAATACCAGTAATTATTACATTGAGTTCTGATTGACCACTTCACTCAAAACATGTTTTAATGATTGAACTTTAGTTGCAAGTTTCATATTGCCTATTATTAGGGAAGTTCTCAATTAAACATGTTCTTAAATACATAAAACAAATCAAACGACACAACATCCAAAAGAATCAAATGTGAAACTTTTAAAGGTTTGGGTGATAACAATTGAAAACTAGATTTTATGTGAACACTTCATCAAGGAAAAAATATCTTTGGATACAAATGTATACAGCCTTAGTCATCTGCTTAAGTACAAAAGAAATTAAGTCTCATTTGGATATTAATTATTGGCCACAAACATCAACTATGAAAGCCAGGCTACCAAGCAACAAAAACATGTTTATGATTTGCCAGGTTCACGATTCTATAGAGAATTGTATCATGGAAGAGATTATTCAGGATCATCTGACGGGAAAAGTGTAATACTGTAATTAAATGCAATGATACAAAGCAACTAAAGGCCTGTCAGATTCAGATTGTGCAACTTGAGCGCGTGCACCAGATTATTGTCGGAAAGAAACTGCTTGAAAGCATCCAGCTTCTTGAAGCATATCGTCACGCAGCAGGACTTGCCGCCGCTGGCGTTACCGTGGCTACCGCTGCCACCGCATCCACTGCCACCGCCGCATCCGCTACCACCGCCGCATCCGCTGCCACCGCCGCATCCGCTGCCACCGCCACATCCGCTCCCAACGACTCCATGGCCATTGCCACTGCAACCGCCGGCGCCGGCTCTGTTGCCGCCGCATCCGCAGCCACACCCATTGCCACCGCCGCACCCGTTGCCGGCACCCGTCTGCCCCTCGCCCCCGCACGAGCAGAGCAGCCTCTCTATATTAACGCTGGGGGCGTTCTCGTCGCACTCGTGCAGCGTGTACACACCCAACTCCTCGAGGCTCGAGTTGTTGTGCCGCCTGTGGTAGTGGAGGAACGTGTTGTGGTTGGTGTCCGTCGCCTTGCCGCAGCCGACCGCGCACCTCATCTCGGCGTGGTCGCACTTGCAGTCGACGCAGGAGCACTTGTCGTCCGGGCAGGTCTTCTCGTCGGAGTCGCAGCCGCCCCTGCACTCGCCCTTCGTGGGGCTGCACTCGCAGCTGGCGCACGTGCATATCCCCGCTTCGGCGGCCAGCTGCTGGATCCTGTTCCGCTCGCGTCTCCCGAACACGTTCTCTGTGCGCACCACGTACAGGTCGGACGGCGGCTCGCTGTCGAACAGCAGCGTGTCCTCCAGCGCTGTGTCGGCGTTGAACAGCACCGAGTCGGCGGGGTTGATCTCGACGTTGTGTCGAACCCGCGACGGCGGTGGGGTGTTGAGAGACCTGTCGTCGGGCGACTCGGGCCGCTTGAGGTACGCGTCGATTTCGCTGTCCAGGCGCGTTATGGTCGGCGACAGGTTGGTCACCACTTCGCTGTCGTTGAACACCTTCTCGGACGCCAGGACGACGGGGTCGCCGCCGTCGAAGGAGTGCACGTTGGCGGGCGTTATCTCCGAGCTGAGGTCGATGTAGCTCTGCATGTGGGTGGGCACGAAGGTGGCCAGTGTGCAAATGCTCTCGGGCACCTTCTCCTCTATGCTGACGGGGGCGTCCCGTATGGAGCGGCCAGCGCGCTCACGTCCACCCACGGCGACTGGACCTCCACCTCGCTCGCGAGGGCGAGCTCCATTGCGCTCGACTTGACCTCGATCTTAGGGTCCGGCGCGGGGCTTAGCGTGCTCTGTGTAATTGTCTGCAAGCCCACGTCAGCCCAGCTGTCCGGCTTCGTGGTCAGGTCGGACAATGTGGCGTGCAGCTCGTTCAGATCGTATTCGGACAGCGGAGCGGCCGACGGGAGCGAGTCGAACTTGACGGGTTCCGTGGCGTTGTCGAACAGCAACTCGGTTATGTCTACGCCGTTGTTGGGCAGCGGGTTCACAATGGCGATGTCCTCTAGACTGCCGTCGGTCGAGTTCGACTCGGTGGTGATCCTGCCGAAGGATTCTAAGAACCCCTCCCAGTTCATGGAGCCGTTCGTAGACTTTGACGCTTCTGAGCTCTCGACGGCCCCCGCTATTGGCGATTTGGCTTCGACCTGTGCGGTTTAGAGTGAGTTAAATATTCGGTAGTGAACTGTCAATTCTTATATCCCGAGCCGTTCATAATCATGTTGTCTGTACTTTCCTTACCATTGATGTCTAAACAACTATATTATAGTTACAACCCAACTAAAGACAATTTATAGTTAACTATTAAACTGGTTAACTAACCCATCGCCCTCTATCAAGAGGTTTTTACCTTTACCTACTGCTTATTTTTTTTTAATTATACATATATCCGACACGTACCTGGTGCGTGTGGGGCTTCGGTGCGACGGGCCCCGAGGCGGAGTTCGGCCGCGTGCCGGAATGCGTCCGCGCGTGCGCCTTCAGGTGGTGCGACGCGGTGAACGACTTGCTGCAGCCGTCCGTTCTGCATCTGGCGATCGTTTCGTTCGACATTGTTTCAACCGACTTCTTCAACCGAGGCTCTCGATTCGGCTGTATTTTTTTTGTTTCTTTGTTACGTCAGAACTTTCGACTGATTTTGAACCTGTTTTTGTTTGAAAGCTGGCGCTTCCCATGTGGTCCCATATTTATTTCATTGGCATTGGATCTTTCGCCGTAGGAGTTCAATTACAAACACCGTGACACGAGAATTTTATATATTAGATGTCTACCCAATACCGGTTCAGTAAATATTTGATTGACAAAATTACACTTACACTTTTTATCTATTGAAATGTGCAACGTAATATCGACTCGAATTTTAGAAATGTCAGAAAATGCTGGTTGTGAGTTTATTCGAATTTAAAATAGAAGGCAAATCGCACATTATATGGATTTTTTTTGATAAAACAAATATCTAATACTAGTTCGTCTATTTCGTTATAATCGTTACATTGGCAGTTTTTAAGTTTATATAATGAAAAAATGATGAATGAGATAAGTAGATAAAAGACTTTAAAAGTGCAGTGTCTCGAATTGTAATTCTGCTCCGATTTTAAAATCCATAACTTTAGCTAAACTTTAGTAAGTTTATTTAGTGTTACATCTAGAGTTACATCTGTGTTAAAGAACCACTTATCTCATTATGTAATAATCATTAGTGAAAATTTATTAGTTTAAGTGTATTGATTAAATTTACAGAAATAATAAAGTGAAAATTTAATATTGACTCGAGTTACATTTATGTCTGTTTTCTCGTGGCGAATCAATCGATTTGAAAAAATAACGCAAAGCGCGCATTACATGTAACTTTTTGATAAAACAAATATCTGCTCAATACCAGTTCAGTACATATTTGATTGTTCATGATGACATTGTAATTTTTCAGTTTATCTATTGAAAAGTGTTTGGTTGTGGCGAGTCTATATCGATTTTAAAACAACGCACAACGTATATTTAATGGAAGTTTTTGATAAAACAAATTTCTGCCTAATACCGGTTAAGTACAGATTTGATTATCATCGTTACATTGACAGTTTCTATAGTTTATGTATTGAAGAGTGACAATGTAATATTTACTCAGATTACATAAAGGTATATCTTTTTTTTTTAATGCGAAAAGTTGTCAAACGAGCAGACGGTTCACTTGATGTTAAGTGAATACCGCTGCCCATGGACATCTGCCACACCCGAGGGTTACAGATCTTGTTCCTTGTGGCGTAAGGAAATATTTTATGGGGTAAATATTTAATTATCATGGTAACATCGACTTCAACTTTACTTCTTTTTGTATAAACACTATATCTTTTTATAGCGACCACGTAACATCGACTCAGTTTTCATATTATGATATCGATAAGATATTCTTTTCGTTTTAGCCGTTTCACACTAATTCTATTTGCAGTTTTTATGTCTGACTTAAAAACCGCCTGATTTGCTCTAACTGTTGTGTAATACAGCAAGTAATACATCTAAATCCGTTTGTTAAATACATACGGTAGTCGATTTATAAATCATTTTGTATTGACTGTCATATTTCAGCGATTTCATTGAAACGAGTTGAGAGTATTATAGTTTCATCTAAAATTTTCTACAACCGACTACAACCATTTTGCTACATATGTGATAATTTTTAACACGAAGAGCAACTAACGAACACGAATGATTTTGTAAATACTGACAAAAATGCTGACTAAGCCTTCCTCAACCATATCCCAAATTAAATAAGTAAAAATATAATAGAAAAGAAAATAGTATCAATAAAAGATGTTCGGATTATATCAATGCTGGTTAATTATACAGCCTTTATGTCATACATGTGCAACATGGGCCAATTGATAAGATTATTGGGTAAATCCGAATTTTCACGCTAAATAAATATTGTTTCACAATGTTTTAAAATGTCATATCTCATTCATAAACACCGCTATTATACTAGTAGCATTTGTAAGCCTCAAAACTGGTCAAGTGTGATGATATAAAGCGTGATTATTAAAGAATAAGTCACCATGACTAAACACAATATAATGTGAAACGTACACAGAGAACACATGTTGCAATGACATATACGAGGTAGATACGACACTAGAGCACCGAATTTAGGCGCTCAAATTACGTAAATTCTATAGACTGCTATCTCTTTGTATATCTGTGACATAACATATAATGCAAACCGGAACAATTTTTAAACGCCGTTCAGTATGGACATGCGTCGTCTATATTATTAAACATCATTGATATTATGTTGATTTTTGACACAAACAAATGAAAACTGGCCCAGTACTAACTTGTACGGTCTCTCCTGTGTGTGTGTGCGAACATGTTTCTTGAGGTCGCTTAGCGTTGTAAAGAATTTCGTGCAGCCTTCCGCCTGGCAATTGAATGTGTCGCCACTGTGGAGTCTTTGGTGTGCTTTCAGTCTGAAAATCGAAAACTACAAATGAGTGTTGACTTCTTGATATTATACAGACGATGTGATAGTTGATCAACTTTGACATTAAGACGTGTAACTTCAACTCAATTCGTCCCGTGATCATGAACGCCGGAAAGTGTTCGGAGCGTCGGGAATTAAAATTCAAATTAAAAACGAGATAAAGTCGCGTAAATTAGTTTCATTTAATATGTATAAATGAGTAATCAAATCCCTACTTGTACTACAAGCGATGAATGAAATGTTATATAACCGTAGCCTAGAGAATATAGCCTAAGATTCAAATTCCCTGAACTCTTAAAATATATGTATATATACGTGAATTCAAATCGATTAAGTTTTAAAAGCATTAAGACCTTATGTAGATGAATAGATTGACGTAGATTTTATAATCACGTAATACCACGGTAAAATACTCGACACATTGCTTTTTATCATATTTAGACCCTCCACGTAGACGAATTACAGGGGGAAGTGATCAAAATCGCCATAGATAACATCGTAGCGTGTGTGAATCATGCAATTGTTTGAGTTTTCAATTCATTGCGACGTCAAGATAGGGCAAGGCGGCAACTTCCGCGTATTTCGTGTTATCATACTTTTGCATTTCGTTTAATGGTAAACGCGTGGTATAACTGTTGTAGGGCCTCGCAATAGACTTAGCTGTTGCAGGAATGGGCGTCCTCACAGAAGACCGGCGTGAAGTGTCACACTTTTAAGTTTCGTCTGGTGAGTGAGGTAGCCGGGGCCTACTTTATTAAGAGGTGGTAAGGCATCCACAACCCTACGGATGTTGCGTAATAATGTCAACGGGCGGCGTTATCACCTAACATCAGGTGAGCCGCCAGCTCGCTTAGTCGCTCTCACATAAAAAGGTAACTAAGGCCACCCTCTTGGCTTGACAACGCGAATACAACTCCGTGGTTGCTGTGGTAGCCCTTGAGCAGCTGCGGTGGCCGCTTAACACCGGTTAAACCGCATGTCAGTGGGCGAAGTGTTGTTAAAAGACATATATGTATCTATCTGTTTATTTAACAGTGTGCTGTTTGTGTGTATTATATTTACATCACGTATTGCGTAACCAGCTGTCGTGCTGTCGCATCACATTATTACATTAAAACAAGCCAAGTGCGAGTCGCAATTGGCTTGTTCCGGCAAAAAAACTATGTCTGTTGTATGGGAACCCCACTTAAATTATTTTTTATTCTGTTTTTTTAGTATTTGTTGTTATAGCAACAAATACATCTGTGAATTTCAACTGTCTAACTATCACGGTTCATGAGATACAGCTTGATGACAGACAGACAGTGGAGTTTTAGTAATAGGGTCCCGCTTTACCCTTTTCGGTACGGAACCCTAAAAACGAAAGATTGGAACTGAAAAAATGTAATACACAATACTGGCAATCCAGACCTTCAATGTTTTGTGTCAGTCAAATTAAAATGCTGTCAGTTTGTTACATATTAACTAACATATATATTGTGCCAAAATCGTTCGTTGTGTCACTTTTTAATTTTTTTTCCACTTGGCACGTGTCGTTGCGATATATCTTTGTGAAGCGACAAAATAAAATGTCGGGTCGATGTCGTAATCTCTTTATTAGCCACGCTAAGGAATAAAAAAGCGGAACGGCGGTGAGAGCTTTCAATTTTCTCCTCCGGAATGATCCTCTCGTATGTGAACATTCTTCGTATCGCTAACTGTGGGATTACGCAACACTGTTGCACGAATGGGCAGGTCCGTCCGGGTAAGTAATAAGACCCCACAGAAGACCAGCGTAAAGTAGAAGTGTTTACACTTCTGCGTTTCGTCTGGTGAGTGAGGTAGCCGGGGCCCATTTTATTTAGGCGGCAACGCTTCTGCAACCCCACGGGTATTTCAAATGTCCATGGGCGGCGGTTATCACTTAACATCAGGTGAACCACCAGCTCGTTTGCCACTTTCTCACATTAAAAAAAATCTCTAGAATGATGATTTTGCTTTATTATAATAGGTACTATTAAATAATAAATTTCCTAAATTAATATATGTCACTGGTTTAATCAGTTCTTTAGATTTTTTTTTAAATTAGAGATATATAAAAAATAAGTAAGTAGTCTGTCTGTACTGAGGAAATGAGGTCATAGTCTACAACGCGGATTGGCGGACTTTACAATATCTTCGAAATATTTTTTTATTATTTCGAAAATGTACAGGTTTCCTTTCGATATTCACCCTTCACCGCTGAGCACGTGATAAGTCAGCAGTTTAAACGAACAATTTAATTAGTACCGGCACCGGGTATCGAACTGTTCGCTCGAGTATATTGAATTAAAAGCGAGCGCCCGGACAATGAGCTATCACGGCTATACAGGGAGATTTTTGAGAAGTGCCCAAATTTACACAGGAAGTTCAGACTCGGTAGTACAATCGTTTATTGAAATCTAAAGAAAGTTTTTTTTCCAAAAAAAAAAAAATTGCCATTCTATTCCCTAAAAAACAGAACGTGTTGACAATGCGGTAGTCATTCATAAATACCTAAATTTTACTGTGCACGAACTTGTGTAAGTGTTATTTATGAATGATCGCGCGTAAAATAAATAATCACGCACTTTTTGAGATAAGTTCAAATGAATGTAATTAATTACTTAAGTGATTTTAAATATTTATCATTTTTTATATAACATTATTTATGACTAGAATTTAATAAAAAAAAATGGATACACTTAGAAAAGCCACCCTGTATATGTTGTAGTATTTTAAAGCATCAGCTCAAATATAGCTGCAGCAGCCAACACACGGATTTGGAATGCGGATTTTATTAAACAGGCTCAATGAGCACGTGTTTTCCAACGACCTTCTGCCGGCGGAACAATTCGGCTTTCGAGCTAGATATTCCTGTCCCGATCAACAATTCCGCCTAACAGAACATATCCTAAAAGGCCTAAATCACCCTAAACATATTACAGGGGCTCTTTTCTTCGATGTCGCCAAAGCATTCGACAAGGTCTGGCACAACGGCTTGCTTTACACACTCAAAGTGCCAGATAGGCTCGTACACGCCATCCGGGCCTTCCTGTCGAACCGCTCTTTTCGATATCAAGTTGAAGGCACCCTCTCCTCAAGCCGCCGCCTCACGGCCTCCGTACCACAAGGCTCCGGCTTCTCACCTTTGGTCTTTACGCTCTACACGAGCGATATACCTAAAGACCCTCACATCAATCTCGCGCTTGTCGCGGATGACACGGCGCTCTTTTATTCAGACCGCAACCTTAGACAACTAACCACTCGACTCCAAAGCGCCGCCGACCGCCTCGGCGATTGGTTCCGCAAATGGAGAATAGAAATAAATCCCAAAAAAGAGTGTGGCGATTCACTTCACACGAAGTACATACCCGTCACATCTTTATAATGGCCCTCGTCAATGCAGAAAGTTGGGGCAAATATCCCTTTATGGCCACCCGCTCAACTGGAAGAAAAACGTCAAATACATAGGAGTCACTTTCGACTCGCGTATGTCATTTACTACGCACAATAATAACATTCGCAATAGAGCCGCGTTCGTCTCCGGCCGGCTACACAATTTAACCAACGCTAAAAGTAAAATGCCCTTAGGGCACAAGTAGGGTGCGTGTAGCAAATAGTACTAAATAAGTTCATCCGCCGCGCAACCGGTGCGCAGTGGTATCAACGCAACGTCGACCTGCACAGCGATTGCAGACTCCCGACGATTCGCGAATATTTTAAAGACCTGACCAAACGGTTCGATAGAGCCGAACATCATCCCAACCCTCTGGTGGTAAGCGCAGCAAATTATCAACCCGAAACTAACGCGAACGTCAACAAGCGTCGCCCGCGAAACGTCCTAATAGACCCGGTCGAGGAAGGGGACTTAGATACGCCGGACCCACTGCCGGGGGTCCCGCCGGATAACACTACACCCAAAGTTAGTGCAACAACAAACACACTAGTTCGCCCTCGCCTCTGAGCACGGCGAGACCAACACAACGCGTACACAAGGTACGCCCGCGTTCCGGGGCGGTTCTCACCGCTCCCAGCCACCGATTAGCTAATTGCACAGTCGACGGCCATCGGGGTTTCGGTGCGAACCGCGACCTCGATGGCCCTTAGATGACACACCATATTTAAACGCACGCATGAGCACATGCGTGGCCCTACCCACAGCGGAGGGCCCAAGCGCGTGGGTTCTGGCTAGCCCACCGGTTCTGCGTCAGATGAAGCTTTAATAGTCTCGGGACTGAAAGCAAAAACATCAGTTAATACAAGGTACAAGATACAAGGATTTAGACTTTGTGTTTAATCGTTCTCCCATCACATAAAATCTTTAGCCCTAGGCTCATTGATCCATGACTGAGATTTCAGAAAATCTCAGCATTAGAAGCCTGTTTGAGTATTCTAACTAGTAGTACATTCCACATAGCAGGCGTCTAGGTTAACGGGTTTTCTACCATAAAAGGAAATGCCTGAGTTTCATCGGCATTGAATCTTACATTATTGGCATCGCCCCAAAAAGTGCCTGCGATGCGATTATGTTCACAAGATTTACACGAATCGATAATAAATATACATACGCTGCTTAAATACGCGTAAGCAGCAGCCTAAAACTATGTTAAAAAACTAAAATATATTTGCAAGGTTATTTTCCAATACAAAAAATCTTGATTTAATTTCATTTCTATTTATGGCACTGAAAGTTTTAATATTAAGGCAATTACAAAATGAAATAAATTAATTTAGTAGAGTGAGTAATCGATCTCATTAATAATTAGTAATTGCCAATTAAATTAGTTCCATCGCTTTCTTTACTCTTGAAGAAACTTTTACCGAATAGACGAAACGATTTTGTAATGTCTGTAACTTTTCTGAACTCTTATTAAACTTTAGGAGCGGAATAATCGATTCTCCCCAAGTCGGCCCTGTAAATTCGGGGAAAGCAAATGATGACGACCAGAGATTTTACAAATAATAATGTTAATATTTACGTATTTAACTAACATTGTTTTTGGAGTTTTAAGTGAGATAAATTATTTATTTTTCTTAAGTATTACAGTTTATAATAGGCTATAGCATTGCGATTTTTACACGAAACATTGAATTACTTTTCAGTTTCTTGTATTCGATACAATTCTGCGTGGAGATTCCTCTTCTTAGGATAAATGCTCACATATGGAGAAATGAGGACATTCCGTAGAACCTCCCAGGAGCATTTTCCCTACTAGCAATTGAAGTTTTTTTTTTTAATTTGTAGAGTAAGGAATCTAGGGGGCAGTCCATTTCATATCAAGTGCTCGAAGGCATCATGCCATTTGCCAATTACATTAAATCTTGAATAGTCACTAGTCGAACCAATATAAACGCATAGAAATTAACAAAGTAGCCGAGACCGGGAAGATTTACAGCATAGCAGGCATGTATTACGCGCGATGTATGGATTGGCGGCTCTCCAACATGGCTATAAATCACTCGACGGCTAACTAGAGCCACGTGATAATATTTGAATACATCTGATTAACCGACGGAAAATGCCACGGCGCTCGGGAATCTATCATACAATACTAATATTACTACTGTACTAATGTTGTAACTATTAGAAACCCGTTCTTGCGCTCACGAGGGCCGGTATGCTTGGGGCTCCCGGTCAGAAAGGAAGGTGTACCCACTAAAACTCAAGTGGGGGGCGGAGACACAGGAACACGAAGAAGCGACCAGGGTTATGTCTTCCACGACCTGGGCACGACAATGACCTCTTCACGGATGCTTTGACACCGGGCACGGCCATATGGTGCTGCGCCGGTGCAATTAGCACAGTAACCATCACAAGCCCCGTACTGAACCGCAGAGACATCCATGCATGACGCTCAGCCACTCACTATCAGGAGGGAGATGGGAGAAGGCTGCTCGCGTAGTCCAGCTTCCTCTGCAGGGTACAGAAGTGCAGCACCAGCGGTGGATATCCAGGGTAAAAAATGTACACCCTCTTCTCAGAGCGGTTCCCATGAGACAATTCCTCCCTCAACAGATAACACACGCATGAGCACATGCACACCCCTACCCAACGTTGATCCCTACCCCCTACCAATCGTTTTTAAAATCCAAAGAGTGGAGGTCGAATATTGCTTCTCCTCCATTTAGAGGTTATCCACAAAAAATGGGACTAAATATTGGTTTCGTAGGGGATGCCCCACGAAAGATCTGTCACAACTTTGAGGTCTAGATCAGCAAAGGAGGTGGTCACACTGTCTATAAACCGCCAAAAATTTAGGAGCTGTACAACGCTCACCATGATGGTAGTCCTTAAAGCTACTCGACAAAGATATGCTCGGGGCTGTTGTAGACTTCATAATCTAACTGGAGAGTCAACGTGATCCTGACCGAGTCTTATCTGGTCCGGAGTAGTGGTCTGGAGTAGAAAAAACTTGACGCCAAATTACGATTTCTCAATACTCTAGGTCAGTTCTACGCAAGTAGGGCCACGCAGGAGCCTCTGCTTTTGCACGAATGGGCAGGCTCATCCGGGTAAGTACCACGATCTCTCAGAAGACCTGACCGAGTCTTATCTGGTCCGGAGTAGTGGTCTGGAGTAGAAAAAACTTGACGCCAAATTACGATTTCTCAATACTCTAGGTCAGTTCTACGCAAGTAGGGCCACGCAGGAGCCTCTGCTTTTGCACGAATGGGCAGGCTCATCCGGGTAAGTACCACGATCTCTCAGAAGACCGGCGTAAAGTGAAAGTATAATACTTTCGCGTTTCGTCTGGTGAGTGAGGTGGCCGGAGCCCAATTTTCAAAAAGGTTGTCAACACATCTACAAACCTTCGGGTGTAGCAGATGTCCATGGGCGGCGGTATTATCTAAACATCAGGTGAACTTTCTGCTTGCTTGGCAACTTTCCACATAAAAAGTTCTTCCGATGCGTGATTGAGATGGCGCGATGATTGTTTGCGGGCTCGACAATTATATACCAGAAGCCAAAGAAGGTTAGTAACCGACGAGAAGGAAGGTGTTGAGGCTCTTTGAATGTACTCCAACACGCATTGAAGCTTAATCATGGTTGTGGAGAAAACTCTTCAAACAGTTGTGGGGATTTTAGTTGGGTGCTCGTACAAGATTGTTTGGGAAATTTGCGGCCATTGTTACCAGCTTGATAACCCTCAATTCCACTTTCGTGATAGGGTAATCCACAAGCTATCTTAGCATTATCGTCAGACAATCCGACTGGTCTGATGAACTGGGGTAACTGACGAGGAGACGGACCAAGTGTACAAATGCCTCATAAGCCGAATCACCGCTCAGGTCAGAGACCGACAACTGCCTTCACGAAGATGTACTTGAAGCTGCAAGGATTAAAGAGAGATGGAGAACATCCGAGGTTTGAAGATGCGTTGACAACCTTTTGAATGTTGGAAATTTGCTTCATGAGCAAACTGTAAAATGATTTTTTAAATAAACGGAACTAACGTGTCATAACGTGTCTTTATTTCAATAATGCCTTGCATTGTATAATGCATTGCAACGCCGTATAACTCTAGGAGAAATGCTGAATGGGTTTTTTAAAAGCTACACTTTTCTCTCAAATGATATTTTTGTTTGCATATAAGAAAGAGGTTATCTCTGAAAGTTCTAAAGTTGCATCATCCCTGAGCAGTACCGAAATTATATTGTTTACGCATGTTGTCTGTTCACGTCTCAAGGTATGTTACTTTGTATGTGACATTATTCATTTTTGTGAAATGAACAATTGTTGCTGATCAGGTTGAAAGAAGTTGACACATTTGACAGTTGCATTGTTTATGGTGATCTGTGGCATTATTTACATGTATAAAGCATTGTTATTTAAGTACAGTATTCTGTTTGTTATATAGCTGCAATATTCCTAAGTTTATGAAAGATGTCAACTTTTTTTAGATCAAGTCAGAAACGAACGCTGGCGAATTCGACATTTAGGTTTTCGACTGTCAACAAATTATGTATAAAAAAATTGCAAAATATTTTGTGATTTAAGTATTCAGTATGTACAACATTACTTCTTCTAAGGATAAGACATAGATCTGCTTGTTCAAAGTTGGGTCAGCTAGCTATTTTAATTGAGGTGGAGTATCATGGTGCAAGGGGAAAATTAAATAGATTTATCAGTTGAGTGATAGTTACGCATGAGTTCGACTTACGTTTCACTTATCAAAACTAGATTGGACGAAATTTGATTGGAAAAAAACTGTTCGTTTCGTGAAGGTGACTGTATATTGGGTGATATATAATACGCAAAATGACAGCATACTTTTCACTAAAAATTTGCAAGTAATCGTTACAAATCATACGTACAATGACTGCGCATTTATTCATAAAAAATATGCAAGTAACCGTGAGTCTATTCTTTATATCGCACGCGATTCCTTCGTGGTTTTTACTCGTTGAAAGATAAAGTGTAAAACGAATACAAGATATATTTTATTAATAATATCGTCATATATATATATATATATTTGCAAGATTAGTCAAGGTTATGTTTTATAGCTTTGATGTCTTAATAAAAAAATGAAAAGAAAAATCTTATATGATCTAACACCGTTTGCCTATAAACCTTTAAAAGTTATAGTAAAATAACAGCCAAAAATGTTCCACTGTTACGCAAAAACGTCTTCTGTACGTCGAACGAATGCAAATCTCAATCTTCACCACTCAATCCCAGAGAACATTAAATAAAAGCGAAGCTCGGTTTGGTTCGTTTTTGCGCCCTGGTCCACGACGGCGGATTTCCGGAGTGTCGTTGCCGCCTTTTCTCTCACGGCAGCTTCTTTCCGGGTGCTTACGTCCTCGCAAAATGCAAGGACAGCACCCCACGACCAATCGTTATCCAATATAGCACACGAAACACAACGGGTAGAGATAGGTCGCACCCCACGACAGCCAACAGGTCTCTGCAATGCTCCGGCTACTGTCTCTTTGGAAAATACGTCGCAATTATAGCATTTCGCTGTGACACTACTGAGGGTGGGTCTCCAGCACTCGACACAGTGAGAAAAGATCCAGGGCTCGTGGCAGCTCTGTTGAGAGAATTTGTCTTCTAACGGCGTACTTCTCTCTCAACAGAACGCATAACGCTGGCCAAATTCGAGAGCTGCCTAGACAGACTAGGGTAACTTAATCCGTACCTAGTCCCTCCTTATCTCTGCGTTGAGATCCCTGAACGCATTCTGCAGCTGGCGAAATCTGGGGATCAGCGAACACGCTCGGAGCGGATCAGTCGTGGTTGCAGCGTTCGCAAGCCCTGCTTTGCGCGCCGTGGCTGGAAGGGAGTCGTTAGCATAGACTCTATCGGATCACCCATATCCTTCTCGACCTCATCGCTCTACCAGATCCGTTAACCAGCCCTAACCGGACCCCGAAACCTGGCCAAGAAATCCTTAAGGAAGCGGCTATTGTCCAGTCATGCCATAACCAACGGCTTCACACTGCCCTGGGCTTACATTACAGGCGCTACGGTTCCATGGGTTCCACAGGGGTCGATGTTAGAGCCTTTCCTGTGGCATATAGGTTATGAGTGGGTGTTGCGTGGCGCTTAACCTCAGGGGTATCGATATGACTTGTTACGTCGGTACCTTTGGCGGTACCTTTGTGACCGCCCGCGGCACAATATTTCACCGGGGCGCTATTCTTGCCACTCTGGGGTGGCTGGGTGACGTTCAGGAATTAGGACTAGAGGTGGCACTAGGTACGGTCGAGGCCCTTTGTTTTTATGGGCCCCAGAACGCGCTACCTGTGGATGCTCACATATGTGTGTGGGGTCCGTGTCGACGTTAAACCTCGGTCTAGTTCGCGATTTAAGCAAAACGCTTTTGCGCAAGCCGCGGAGGTATCCGGGCCAAGAGAGGCTGAGGCGGCTTGCCTGTTGGTTCCTGCCTTGGGATTTAAAAGCTGATATTCTCGCGTATTTGCTAAGAATTGTTGACGCCATACGGGCTGTTCTCAGGTGTCTTGACAGGGACAATCGACGGTGTCGCCTGTCCAGCCACCTCCTGAGGACAGGACGTTCCCATCGGATCTGCGGTTAGTGGTGAGGTCGCCGTGCAAAGTATATTTTCATCATAACCCAACCGCAAGCCTCAGGTATTGGCATTGATATACTGGTCTCGCTGATGTCCTGATCACAAGCACGTAATGTGCAAGCTGGTGCCGAACAAGAGTAAGGTCCTTCCAACTAAAGCTGCACCTAATTGTAAACCAGCAGTGAAGCTTAGAAGCGTTATTAACTAGCTTCCCCAGGTTTCAATAAAGTAAGCAACAAGTATTAAAAGCCCTCCCGTGCACCTTCATCTGTCTACGGATACTTTCAATGCGTTCATCTCCAACTGCTTCTATCCGACGTTATTCGTAAACTTTTATATAGAAATAACACACGTGACCATATGGTTTGTCCTCGCCTACGTGCACGGCGAAACCATCACTATGAGTACACGCGGTACACCCTCATCCCAGGACGGTTCATACCGCTCCCAGCCAACGGTAATCACAGTACCCGCCAACGGGGCGACAGTCCGCACTGAAGCCCGAACGGCCGTAGGTACCGATGCAGAGCTCGTGGAATCTTGCTATTCCACGAATATTTTAATGACTGAAAGCGAAAACATCATCATCACCACATAGTATAAAACAAAGTCGTCCCGCTGACTGGCTGTCCATATGTATGCTTAGATCTTTGAAACAACGCAACGGATCTTGAAGCGGTGTTTTTTTATTAGATAGAGTGACTCAAGAGCCAGGTTTATATGTATAATACATACAATACATTGCACCCGTGCGAAGCCGGGGCGGGTCGCTGGTTTTACAAAAATAAAGATGTCCACGGCTGGTCGGGTGATATTTCCGCTAATCCCACCCGTCGTATCTACCGTCTAGCTGCACTTATTACCCCATTCCGAAATTCCGTTCTGGACCTAACGGTTTCACAGGAGACCAGTGACACCAAAATTGTTATACCTGCCAATGCAGCCTATACAACCGGCGGGGATAGGTCCAAACTTAAGAAACAGGGTCCTTCTTATTAGCGGAATCCCATTCCCCACTACAGAATATCTAGAAATCAGCCAAAATTTTACCATAGCACAACGTGGCTACAAGGTTGTTTTATTTATAAAAACAAGCGGAGTCAAGCAAACATTATAGATAACGTTGGACGATATCAAGCGTAACGTTTTTAACAGACTTAAAACAATCCCTAAGCTTTCAGGTATTTACGAAAATATATTCATTGTTTTATAAAACTATTTTACTCATTTTTTGTATTCTACAGCGGTCCTGTCCCATGACCATGTACGCCGTAAGTTGTTCAAAACGTCGGGCATTTAAAATCAAAATAAAAAAATGCTCCTAAGGTCGAATGCTGCAATAACTTATCAGTCGTAAAAATAATATTACGTCAAATTTAATTAAGAGATACGACATTAACAGCACTAGAGCCTCGCTATGTAATCGCCAAGTCGTATCTATCCGGAAATTCCGCTTGTATTCCACGAAGCACTGAAGCGTGTCAGAAAATTACCTACTTCAAAAATCATTTTTTTTTACCAAACTTTTTTTTTAACGAAATACAAAATCTTCAAATATCTCGCTCTGTATTCATTTTACAATTGATTTCCAGGTGTTACCAACGTGTGTACAGGAGCCAAAGATCCAATACCAATGAAATGAATTAGCACCAGCTTTCAAATTAGAAAAAGAATCATCAAAATCGGTTCACTCCGCCGAAAGTTCTGAGGTAACAAACATTTTTTTTTTATGTGAAAAGTTGCCGAACGAGCAGACGGTTCACCTGATGCTAAGTAAATACCGCCGCCCATGGACATCAGCTACACCCGAGGGTTCCAGATGCGTTGACAACCTTTTGAAAATTGGGCTCCGGCTACCTCACCCACCAGACGAAACGCGAAAGTATTTGTCATACTTCCACTTTACGCTGGTCTTCTAATCATGTAAAGACTTCCATTTTTTTACCTACGTTAGTTTTGACTCATAAATTCAAAGTGTGACAAGATCATTATTCAATGAGACATACAGTCCAATAAAGAAGTCAATCTTTATGAAAGTCTACAAAATTGAGTTTCGCGCAGTAATAAAGTTCCTTATTCCTTAAGGAGAACCTACTCAGACTATTTTGGAACAGAAGTCTTAGGTGTTTGGGGCTATTGCCCTGGTAAATGCCATTCATTTGCCATGCTATTAACAAGTGGTACAACCTCTTCAAGCGGTACTTTAATTCCGTAGGATACAGCTTTAATAGTTTACTTAGTAAATCTTCACTTCTGGAATATCTGCGAGTTGCTGTGACGGAAAAATTGTGGGAAAAACCCAAATAATTGTTCCCGATGATGAAACATTCTATGAAAGACAATTCCCAGCTATGAAGAGTTGAAGAGCACAAAATCGCTTGTTGTGACGTTAAAAGAGTTAAAACAATGGTAAAATGTAATAAATATAATTAAGAGTTAATCAAGAGTATAAATGAGAAAAAAAAAATAATTTTGGCTTTTATTTATTATTCTTTAACCACCATTCCGCGAACTTTTTGAGCCACTACTATATATTATATCACTGGGGCCTTCTCTAAAACCTCTAAACCTAACCCTATGTATTATTCCATGTATCCCTACCGACAAAAACAAATTTGTACACCGCAAGAACTCCAGATACCTAAATTATTCGCGCGCATATACCATCCGAAGATTACTTTTTAAATTCACGTTTTTACAAAGGGAACGTAAAAATTTCCAAGGACTAGCAATAGAATTCACCTGTATAGTGTGTTGAAGGCTTTATTGCAGTTGGCGCTGGAGCATGCGAACGGTTTCGCCTTGGTGTGCGCGCGTACGTGAATCTTCAGACTGTAGGAAGTGAGGAAGGCTTTGCTGCAGTTCTCCACCGGGCACACGAACCTGTAGTCGCCTAGAATATGGAGATTATTTTTTTTTATGAAAAGGCGTCACAGTCGGCAGATGGTCTGATGCCTAGTCGGATAATTTGCCGGTTGGTCCACACCACCCGTGGGGTTGCAAGCGCGTTGCCAACCTTTCAAGTTCCACGGTTACCTCGGTTGATGACTCAGCGACGTAGTAGCCAAGACATTGGCTTAGGTGCCCGGGTTCGTGGGTTCGATTCCACACGAGACAAGTATATGTGTGAATTGTTTCTGATCTGGTTTGTTCACATGAAATTTATGTATGCAAAACGTTCTGACAAAACAGGATAATGATATCCTACAGTAAGGACAATGTTTTCAAAAGGAAGACTAGAATAGATTTTCTAGGTCGTAATGCTCGTTACGACTTACTGCTCAACGCCTTCCACACAAAATACAAATATCCTTTCAGTCAGTATTTGAGACTTCGGGTAACATTTAAAAAAAATGTTCATTTATCCTATTTTAGTTATAATTGTTATAGGTACCTGAGCCGTGATAGCTCAGTGTGCGGCCGCTCGCCTTTAATTCAATATACTCGAGCAACCCGAGTTCGATCCCCGTGGCGGCACCAATGAAATTGTTAATTTTAAGAATTACCACGTGCTCAGCGGTGAAGGAAAACATCCTGAGGAAACCTGCACATTTTCGAAATAATAACAAAAAATATATTTATAAGATATGTGAAGTCCACCAATCAGCTGTGGGGCCGCGTGGTGGAGAATGCCCTAATACCATCTGTACAAAGGAGGCCTTTGCCCAGCAGTGGGACATGTATAGGCTGATACTTTACTATCTTTATAATTTACCTATATAGATTTTTTTTATTTAGTTAACTAGTCATCAGCCAGGTTTATTTTTACTAAAAGGCAGGTACGCGCCAATTTGAAAATCATTACAGAGTATTAAAGAGTTAAATGAAAATAAATAAAGCGGTCCAATTAATGCTTTATTTTATGAGCTCTTCAAACTCTTTTTTTGGATATTTTATTTAATATAATATAATTTTTACTATCATTTTTTGCAGCAGTTAATGGTGTACGGATAGTCCTTGCCAACTTTTAAATTCGGCGTATAGTCCCAAAGTCATTACCTAGACCAGTTACAGTATTAAAGGATAGCGTTCGGTGCACGGGTCACGTCTGCTGATATCTAACGCCTGAACACAAAAACTTTCAATAGAATATTTTACTTACCCTAATGTGCATAATAAATCATTCGACCGTATTTTGACGTACCTAAACCTTTAAACATACAAATTTCAACAATCAAGATCAAGTCTCTTCCCTGACATCGGTGTATTATTACAGATAAGAGCAAAATTTAAAACACGGAAGTATTGTATTGATATCGGGCGATATAAAACACGACATTGATACTTTATATACCTTTAAAAACTTAAGTATCAGCGTATTTACGAAAAAAATATAATATGTACAAAAATTATGCATCGATATTACGACGGGACGCAAAAACAATGAAAATAGATTCAGTGTCATTTATCCGTTCTATTTAAAAATATGATTTTCGTCAAGAGTCCAAATTGGACAAAAGGATGTGGGACTGTCTTGGTGACGAGAGTGTCTTGGTGGCCATTTAAACTTTTGCTAGTTTAACACAAGACCACAGTTTAATGAATAATTGTCCAAATAACTTACACGGTAACGGAACAGCTATGTAATAAATATTGATTATGGCTTAAAACCAGACTTCACTTCTCAGTGACAATACGAGGTACAAAAAATATCCATGCCTTCGCTCCGACGACTGAAGGTTTTCGGTATGATTATAGATGTTAAAATTTGTAAACAAATATCTAAGTTTGAAACATAAAATTATAATAATGTCGTTTTATTGTAACTAGTGGACGCCGATTGGTCGAAATTCGACCATAAATAATTTCAATTTCAAGTTTGAACAATATTAATCTATTATCAAATACAATACACAATAAACAAAAGAGTGCATATGCGCGTGTGTGTCAAATACATGGGTAGTATGCATATATAGCATTAATGCAGAGAAAAAATGCAGAGTACAGAATGCTAATATTTAGCATTCTGCACTCCTTCTCTATATAAAACGGAAACTTCATACTCCTCCGTCCGTGCAATTTTCGTAAAAAGGGGTACAAACTTTTTGCTTTCCGTATTAATATATGGATTTGAAGTACATCGACATATGATCAAATGATTTATTAAACACAATTAGATGAGAAAAATTATTCCATGTTTTTGTACTCGCAGCACTCGTACTCACTCGGATAAGAGACACTAGCCTTCGACAATGTAATTTTAAAAAAAAAAATTAATCCAACAATGCGTTTAAAAAGCTCCTAAAATATAGTATAAATTCGACTGCTTTATTCATTTTAATTTTTTTAATAAAAGGTAATGGGGTTTCAAATGGCACCTACTTGTCGGCCTCTAACTTGTTAACTACATTTTATGCTGTAAAAATATTTTGCATCTGGATTAAAGACACGTAGATAATTATAGCATAATCAAATATTACTAAAATCTGAATCATCAAAATTTTTATCGCTTCACGTAGATTGCCCAATGTGTCGTTTGACGGCTAATGCCCGTTTTCACCATCGATCCCTAACTTTAAGGGACACCTAAAAATTTTAAGTGCTACAACCATTTCCACCAACGCGTGTCGCGTGAAATTTAAAAGTTCAGAGGTCAAAAATAAAGAAAATCGTTTAGAAAAGTTAGTGAATAAGTAAGTGAAATACTTAATTACGGATTTTATAGGGCAATAAATCGAGAAAAGGTGTGGCCCTACCTCACTATATCAAGGTAAACAGTAATACCATTGCTATTATTTTTCAAAGTGTTGAGACTAATGTAACAAGACATTCAGAGTGCGGTTCATGCTCATTATAAGGATTAAAAATGGATCTCTTATTAACGCATTACACTGAGTTTCAAAAAAAAAAAAAAACCTTTACTATAGCGGCGATAAATACACTGGCTCAGTAAGACTGTTACCTACTTTAAGGACATCCAAATAAATAGGGACGGAAAATGGATCGCTTTTTATTGTATAACTCTGATATTCAAATGGCCTATACTATAGAGGTGATAAATACACTAGCTCAGTAACACTGTTACCTCCTTTAAGAACATCCAAATAAATGGGACGGGAAATGGATCGCTTATTAGCGTATTACACTGAGATTCAAACGGCCTATACTATAGCGGCGATAAATACACTGGCTCAGTAAGACTGTTACCTACTTTAAGGACATCCAAATATATAGGAACAGAAAATGGATCGCTTATTAGCGTATTACACTGAGATTCAAATGGCCTATACTATAGCGGCCTTAAATAAACTGGCTCAGTAAGACTGTTACCTACTTTAAGGGCATCCAAATATATAGGGACGGAAAATGGATCGCTTATTAGTGTATAACACTGAGATTCAAATGGCCTATACAATAGAGGCGATAAATACACTGGCTCAGTAACACTGTTACCTACTTTAAGGGCATCCAAATATATAGGGACGGAAAATGGATCGCTTATTAGTGTATAACACTGAGATTCAAATGGCCTATATAATAGAGGCGATAAATACACTGGCTCAGTAACACTGTTACCTACTTTAAGGACATCCAAATATATAGGGACGGAAAATGGATCGCTTATTAGTGTATAACACTGAGATTCAAATGGCCTATAAAATAGAGGCGATAAATACACTGGCTCAGTAACACTGTTATCTACTTTCATCATCATCATTTCAGCCTGTTTGAGTCCACTGCTGAACATAGGCCTCCCCCATAGACTGCCACGAAGTACGATCCTGAGCCACCTGCATCCATCGACTTCCCGCACATTTGCACAGTTCGTCACTCCATCTAGTGGGGGGTCGTCCTACACTGCGATGCCCAGTACGAGGCTGCCACTCGAGAACCTTTCTTCCCCAACGGTTATCGGTTCTACGAGCTATATGGCCGGCCCATCGCCACTTCAGCTTGCTGATCCTCTGAGCTATGTCGGTTACCTTGGTTCTACTGCGGATGTCTTCGTTACGAACTCTATCACGCAGAGAAATACCGAGCATAGCCCGCTCCATAGCTCGCTGAGCGACTTTGAGGACTACCTACTTTAAGGACATCCAAATATATAGGGACGGAAAATGGATCGCTTATTAGTGTATAACACTGAGATTCAAATGGCCTATACTATAGAGGCGATAAATACACTGGCTCAGTAAGACTTACCTCCTTTAAGGACATCCAATTAAATAGGGACGGAAAAGTAGACGCTTCAACATAATAAACGTGGATGCTAAGCGTTTTGCGTTATGCGTAAAATGTCAAGTCAACTACGGGTTCCAGTTAAGTGTTTAGTCGAAGTTAATGCAGCTACTAAAGTGCACAATTTTGTAATGCTACCAAGAACCCCTTCGAAAACCCGGATCTGAATAAGGGACTTAACATGTCGCGTTGCATTTACACTAATGGTCTGGTTCGCTCAAGGTCAACGACAGAACGTCCTTCAGTGTCCAAAGCGAGCTTTGTACTGGTCAACAAGATTCGTTGGGATGTAATGCGAAAATAAAATTCACAATTAAATGTGGTGGCCGGTCGTGCGGAGGTTGAAATAAGATCATAATTAGTATTGATAACAAATTATGGTTGACACAGAAGCTTTTAATTAATAGTAATGTGTGAGTAAATGGGAAGGACTCGCAATAATATTCAGAAGAGGAAGGAGAATTTGTTGAAAAACAAGTTTTTTCTTAGTCTGGTTGAATGAATTTTTACCCTTAAGGGATAGCCAGGCACAGCTTATGCTGATTATTTATTCTCTATTTTACTGGCACAATTAAATCAGTGAATTTTTTCATTCATAACACATGATTTGAAATTTGCTGGATATGAGAAGAAAAAGTGCTAAAATATTTCATTTTGTAATATCTATTGGTAATAACAATTAACTAATTAGAAAATGCATTTTAATCCTTGAAATAATAAAACAAAGCATTTATTGGATGAAACTGTTTTTTAAGGATGTATTCAAAATATAAACAATATTTATTCATAACAATCATTGTTGTGGTTAGCCTATTAATGCTTCTGTTATTGCTTAAAAGGACTGTCTCATCTGGGAAAGTATCATGATACAATTGCCTTAGCTTTACAAACAATTGGTATAATGTAGAAGTATTTAACTGGCATGAAGTGTATAAAGCCCACTCGTTATAACAGTTTGGACCACAGGTATAAACATGAAATTTACAAATTGGTATCATGAGTAATTTTATTTGTTGTATGAGGAAGCTTGTCACATTCAATTGAATAAAGGTCTAAAAATATGTAAGTATACTTTTATTTATATAGAAAGAATGATAATCTATTGTTTTAACATTCAATAACCTATTTTTCATGTTGCAGCTCAAGTAATGAACTTTTAAAATTAAATATGACAATGAAATATTAAAATGCCGTTCATTTTTTACATTTTAATATAAATACTATTGCTGAGTGGATGATTTAAATAAAGTATTTAACATAATAAGAAATCTCAACCATTCGGCATACCTTTATGTGTTTTCATGTGTGTCCGAAGATTACCAACTGTGCTGTATGTTCGTTCGCAGCCATCATATTCACATTTATATCTTGCGCCACTGTCTTCTACTTTTCTTTTGGCCTTATCCATATTAGCTTGGGGTAATTCAACTTTTGACTTTTGCATGTCTGATGCTTGTTCATTATGCCTAAACAGATAGCATAATAAAGAACATGGAAACACTTAATAGAAGCAGAAAATGCATAGGGTATATTTTGCATTAATGAATGCTAAGTAAACATATTTAAATTGATTATTTATTCAATTTATTTATGCCCTTGAACTTTTTTGTCAAAGATAATATTAGTCTGTAATAATAAGTAATAATCTTATATCAATATTAGTAAGTAATAATCTTAACAAAAGCTAATATTAGACTAACATAATGAAAAAAAAAAAATTATCAAAAGATGTAACATATAACCCTTATTAAATTGATGCACCATTTATGACTTATAAAATAATAAATATAGAAGTGCAAAGATTTTCCTAGCAAAACAATGTTGTTAATTAATAAACAATATCAAAGCGTGAATGTAAATCGAAAAAATCTTAGTAAACATTTAATTGAATTTCAATTTAATTGAAATTAATTGTTTTTGCATTGAATATTGATTCAGTTACCTTTGCGTCATTTCTTATAATCGACCTTAGTTATTATAAAACTCAAAGTTAGGATATTCACATCGCTTCATGATGGTAATGTACAAAAATAGAATGCCCAAAAACGAAACTTGCAAGAAAAAGAACCCATATATAAAATCCTACGAGTAGAAAAGAGACACAATCATATTGACAAACAGCTGATTGAATAAAACACTATAAAAAGCCGATTCCATTAATTACACTTAGATAAATATGACAATATACTGTACAAGATTTAACTTACAGCTCCAGTTTTCTATTATCTTGGGAATCAGCGAGATATGTTTTATTTTCTGAAGATATGACGCTTTCGGCTTCAGTTTTAACATGTTCAGGCACTTGAAAATCGGTAAAGTTTGTGTCAAACACTTGATAAGCGTCTTTCAAATTAACACTTAAACTAAAATCTTCCTCTAAAATATTGTTACATCGTAGAAGGTTATTGGCGGAACCACTGTCAGGGAGCCAAGCGGCCATGTTTGTTAATTTGTTTAAATTGTGTTGTGATATGCATGCCGCAGGCGCGCCACTGTCATATCGAATCGGTAAATGTCAAAACCGGTATCAGTGCTAGTGGTGGACTGACCTGTTGTGATAGATGGCGCTAATTTCAAATGCTCAAATGGGGAGAGCGCCTGGTGCGGAAGTAGGCGCCTGTACTGAGGACTACCGGCCGAACTCCCGTTATAATGAACACCACTTGTTGTCTGCGCGGGCAGTGCGCCGATCGCACGCCCTTCTCATAGCGCGAATGTTTCAACTCCACATACGTAATTTCGCATTTAAAAGTGACTTGGAAAATAGTTAAATATATCTAGTGAAGTAACTGACTATTAAATTTTAAAAAATGTGCTCAAAAACTTTAATTTATTATTTTTATTTGGTAAGTATAAATTAACATTGTGTGCCTTTTAACAAATTGGGCGCCCAAAACCTCATGATGTTATAAAGTAATCAAATTTTTTTACGCGGATATAAAATTATATATATTACTGTATGAAACGAGGGTTCAAAATATTGCTTAATTTGCAATATTAAGTTAGAATTCTATAAAATAAAAAATAAGTTTAATTATATTAAATAAAATGATTTCATTAAGTTGAATTTAAGATATCTTTTCACCACAGTAACTAACAATTTAATTTCACTTTAAATACATTTTTAAACAACATATGCTACATATTATGTTAGTGTAATCGTAAAACGGAACAGCAATGTCATATTCATGAAAATATCTTCACCGTCTGGTCTTCTTGATTCATGCCATTGTCCAATCTTATCAAAAGTAACTTTCTTTGAAAATCTTTGGTTGCATGGTTGATTGACTCATTGCCTATGCATTCAGAGCACACCGTACAGGGAGATAGGAAAAAAAGTATGAATCCGTGGCTGAAGTTATCATTGCTTTACTGTTACTTTACTGAGCGGTCTTCACTGTCTACAGCTACACCACGCATTAGCGTGTCATTAGTTGAAGGTTGCTGACCGAGAGCTTGTTCCACATTCAAGCTACTTAGACCACTTCAATGCTAAAGTAAATTGCAATGTTTCATAGTTCAAACAAATTGTTTTTAGTAATTTTAGTACTCCAAGTGCTGATTACTCTTGAAATTAAATGTATACATAATCAAGTACTTAGACGTGGTCTAGAATTTTTTCTTTACTTTATAATTTATTTCATGCGCCTTGTAAAACTAAATGTTGCTCAACCTGCAACTCGTATAAGAAGTTACAGGAATTCTTATTAAAATACTCATCGTAACGTTGACAATTCTATATTTATAAATAACTCATCGGGAACACGTGCCGTCTAGCAAATATCGATATGTAATTAACCACATCAACATTTTTGACAAGGAAAAGATTGAAAGCTTTGCAAGCACAAATAATCGATAAATATACACAATTTCTCTTGTGGGGAATTCAACATTTGCGACAGGCTGATGTTAATTACTATTCAACAAAATTGGAAAGCACTGAGGAATTTAAGCATGCCGTTCTTTTTGAAAAGAAACAAAAAGAAGAAATGGCATTTTATCATGTCGTTAAAACATTCCAAAGCAAATAGCGACCAACACGCGTTGTTGACATTCCACATTACGTGAGATGTTTTATTCATCATTTTCCCCTGATAACGAGTAATTCTAAATAGAAAGTTGGTTTGTGTATACTTATTGTCTGTAGCAAAGATCGTAATGCTTGAATTAGGTAATCCAGGCTTTCGCTGATGAGCCACAGAGAGAGAGCATGTTCAGAATGCAAGCATCAAATGTCACTTAAAACGTGCTTCCCATACAATGGACCTTAGAGCCCGTTAGGCACTTTCGCTTGCTCTTTCTTTACGTTATTTTCACTTTTGCATAATCGATACATTAATTTGCCGAGTCGCCGAATTTATTAGTGACAGGAGCTTCGATTCATTCAATATAATTCTATGCACTTTTGTTTTGGTTCTCCGAATCAAACGTGTTTTTTGTTGATATTTTTTAAATAATTTTCTTAAACAAAGAGCGTGTATTAACTTTATCATACCGTGTATGAAAAAGTTAATTCGTCTCACATGGGTTTACAACTTTCTTACAAGTAGGTACATTTACTTCGCTAAGTTTTTACGGTTTTTCCTAACATACGTAGATCATTCGTTCTTTACTAACGATATGTAAGAATTGTTAACGGATAACTTTAAATTGAAAGCTATGTATTTTCGAATGAGTGATAGACAACAGATATTAACATATTATTTTGCAGCGCCTAAAGTAACATTATTTTTGGCACCTGAACATTTTCAATGTTAGTTCAATGACATGTTACACACATGACCTAGAAATCGGACACTGGCACTTTCTTTCTTGTTAGTCTTTACGATTCGCCGCACAGCACTTAGGAATAAAACGGGACTGATTTATTATAAATTTCACCTCAATTTTACTTTGAATTAAAGAAACAACCAGTTTTATATATACCTATATGCAATGCTGGGCAAAAGCCTCCTACCGTTGACTGGCAGACTATGGAAAATATACAGGTGTTTCCTTACGATTATCAAATTTTAACAATTTTTTTGAATTAAAAGTAAGCGTCCGGACACTGAGTATCTATAACGACTTTTGAAAATTGTGCTAGGTACATAATGTTTATAATGTTTTTTAAATTATTATAATTTTTTATTATTGCTGGTTATGTTCAAAAATATATTTAATACCAATATTCATATTACCTTATATAATAATTAAGACTTATAAGAGTTTATTTATCAATATGAAATGAAGAGAACATTTATTCTCTTTTTTTCACACATAACGGTTATAGTTACAAGTATATCTCTCATAACTTTTTAGTACGTCACTAGAGATAAAGGAACTGCTTTTTTATAACTATCCAGATTATCAATAAAATAATAAAGGAGAAAAAAGGTAGCTCTAGCTCAGTCACGTCCGCAACAACAATAGCTCGTTCGATTCTCCTCATCTACCGCTATGAAACAAGATAATCGTGAAACTATAGAAATGAACGCGTTAAGTTTGAACAGAGGGACAGGTTTTGTTTGCGGATCGCTTGCGGGAACTGTGTCATTCGGCCGCGACACACATACCCCGATAGCTTGGGCCGTGGACGCTTCGTCTGATGACCAAACATTTCGACCATAAAGCAATAGATATTGATCATGCATTCGGAATAATAATTCGTGAGCCACAGCAAAGACCCACCCGTAAGCTTGAATTAAATTGAATTTCTAGACTTGTGTTTAAACTTTGCCGTTGGAATTGCAGCTATCGTTCTTTAACCTTCCCAGGGTTCGCAGGAGAGTTTCGGGATATCCTTCCGTGAACTCCTCTTTACCAATCGTGGGGCCACCCTTTGTCACGTGGTTTTAGTGTAATATCTAAAACTGCCGTGGATGCAGTGCATCCTGAAGATCTCCCTCGATACCAAAAAAGATGGCTCCGGGCCAAAAGTCTGACCTATTACATGTTACCTGAATATTTTATGTTCATTTATTTACTTATCGGTCATCCATAAAGTGACTATGTAGTAATTATATCTAGATCCGATAAAAGATTTTCGAAAAACGTCTCAAAAAAATCAAAAGGAATTATCTATTAGCCTACTATTTTCGTATTTAGATTTTTATATCACCAACCGACGAATTTAAATCAATGTCATATAGAGTTGATGCTGAGCAGTTTCATCGAGCTAACATGCACTCAACATAGCGGGTAAAATGTTAACGCGCGTTAAAGTGACTCGGTGAATTTAATCGCGGAGAAATCAGACTGAGCGAAAAGAAACGGAAGACAAGACTGAAACAAATTTAGCATTATCGATTCGCGATCCTGCAGAAAAGCCAATTGCGTTATGCACTATACTTATACGAAATCAAAAGTTTCGTTAAATTAGCAATTTGAACATTTATTACAGCGGGTGACGGAGAATGATTTAATTTCGAATAAAGTGCGAACGAATTGGTATTTCGATGATGTTTGTTCCATATTTCGAAAGTTCATCGCGCTTTGCTAAATGCATCGCGCATCGCGTGAACGAATATCTTGCAGGCCAAATGCATTCGAGTCATCGAGCCCATGGAGTAATTAGTTCAAAATCACCTATTTGATTTAAAGAAATAAATAAAAATCATACAGTACTGGAACAGTTTGCCAACGTGAGATAGTAGCCAAGGACTAGCCGGTTTAAAATAAATTAAGCATATGCCACTTTTAATAAATTTTTCTTTCTATGCGGGATGATAGAGTAGAATAGATCGAATTTAGAACCAATAAAAACAACTTATATGATGAACGGATATTTCGTGCGTATTGACTGCTAACTATTGTTTGTAAAAGCATCTTTATCTATACTAGCGACTCGGCTTTGCGGTAGTTCTCTTGTTTTTACCATACTGAAAACTGCATTAAAATCCGTTGCGTAATTTTAAACGATCAAAGCGTAGAAACAGCGGGGGTGACTTTGTTTTATACTTTGTTTATTTTCTTTTATACTTTCACTAGGATTTAATTTATTTTAAATTTACATCACTGGGGATATTAGGGATTAATCTAAAATCTATTCAATAATTCAACACAAAGGCATATTATGTTGAAAAAAAAAATATAAATCAAACACCTAAATCTGATATTAGCTTGTCATCGCGGCCGTTTTACCGCCCGTTACATCGAGTTAACCATTGATACCGTAAGTCAATTTGCATATCGTCACCTAGATGAGGAATTTGCAAGTGTAAAGTCAGTAAAAACAAAAATGACGAAGATGTTCGTTACGTTTCGTTATATTAAATATGAGTATGACTGCAAATTATGGACATTTAGGTACTAAGTATGTGTAAGATTCGACTTAAAATGTATCCCGTCTGCATGTACTACATTTTATATCGTGCTTTATAAAAAAAAAAAATCCCACGGAACCCTTCGTGCGCGAGCTAAACTCGCACTTCGCCGGTTTTTTTAACTTTATATAAACTTACAATGATCATCATTTTACAGACCATAATATACCTATAGCGTGTCTTTACCATCGCGACAATAAATGAACACACATATAGAGGATAACTTTTTAATATTCTATTAAAGATTTACATTCTTTAAACATCAATATTTAACGAGTTATCAAATTTTCCAAAACAAAGAATTTTAGAACACCCTTACGTATAAAACTTTAATGTAAAGTTCATTTGTAAAGGTCACAAAGCATATGAATGGGTTGAATGAATTTAAAAGACACAAAACATACTATTAAAAGGAGAGGCTTGTAATGCGGCGCTGTGGCAACGAATGAAAAAGTCTCTGAATGTGAATCAGTCAGATGGAGTTGTATAGGATGTTCCAAACTTTGTTTCTTTTTTACTTAATTAGTTTGTTTGAAAAATATTTTTTTAATAATGGAGTTTTTTAACGTTAATATTTTTTATGATTATTGGCAAGTAGCGTTAGACGTGTGTTCATTTATTGTCGCGGTGGTAAGGACTCGCTGTATAGTAGAGAGCTCAGAGATCCCAAGAGAATACTCAACAGCCTTACTTTACTGTTCTACTGAGTTATTAACTGTTAGAAAATTATATATTTTGAACACTGTGCTGAGTAAACACAAATCCTTGCCAACAATTATCGTTAATAATTCTAGAAGAAAATGTAACGTGGTGCAACATACACGAGTGAATTCAGTTTTTGCTAAAAGAAAACATGTCACAATATTATTGTAATAAAAAATTATTGTCTTATACAATGAAATTAATAAAGAAATAAATATTTAGGAAATGACATACACAAAATGCAAAATTGCAGTTATGGGATGATTAAAAGCTAAAAATTACGCTGAAATTGAGATGATGCTGAGTTAACACAAACACACACACACACACACACACACACACACACACACACACACACACACACACACACACACACACACACACACACACATACACACACACACACAAAACGCGCGCGCGCGCGCGCGCGCACACACACACACACAATTACACATACACACACACACACACACACACAGAACACCACACACTGCACACACACACACACACACAACACTGTTGCACACAACGCACTTTTTTTTTGGAAATGAGTTTTGAAAACTGTAAAGAAATTAGTTAAGTTGAAATAAATATTATGGAAGAGCGGTGCTGCGTAACACGAGTAAAACTGTTGCTTAAAAGGTTGCTCCAACTGTATCTTCAATGTGGTAATTCTTTAAGTTGATCCCTGTCATGTGGAAATTCTACAGAACATGCGTAATTTAAATAAATGCCTATTTCATACACCGTGTCAAAGACATTTTTCAAATTCTTACTTGTTCTATCATTCTCATGTAAGATGTGACATCAGTTCGGTGTAGATTTCAGTGGCCTATGAGAGCGTGGTTTAAATTCAATTATGTCATTAGCAAGGAGATATTTATTTTTTGAACGTGAATGGATAGAAAAACTCTTACTAGCGATCCGTTGAACATCTGTTGGCTTAAATGCTATTATATCATTGGCAAGGAACTGTGGTGGGGCCACGCAACAGCTTCGGCTGTTGCACGAATGGGCAGCTCCATCCGAGTTAGTACCATGACCTCACAGAAGACCGGCGTAAAGTAATAGTAGTAGTGTTACACCTCTGCGTTTCGTCTGGTGAGTGAGGCCCGCTTTATTTAAAGGTGGCAATGCATTTGCAACCCTACGGGTGTTGCTAATGTCCCTTTGCGGCGGCTATATCTTAACATCAGGTGAACCACCAGCTCGTTTGCCACTTTTTGTCATTAAAAAGGAGATATTTCTTTTTTGAATGTGAATGGATGGAAAAACTCTTAACTACTAGCGATCCGTTGAACAATAACAGTTCTAAATTTTGTGAATCGATACACACTCTTCTAACAAACTACCGCAACATTATCTGTTCAATGGTTGCTATTGTTTTGGAGACGTAATTGATATTCCGTTCGTGTGTACAATGAACGACAAATCATATTTTCCAGATGCGAAATGGGAATAGTAATTTTGAATGTAACGGTTTGATTAACGTGTCTTAAAATGTAAATACTGAAGCGTTTTTTGGCGCCCATATACCGATAACACATATTAAACATTCGCTTATTCATTACATTATATATATATATTAGTTAATTTTAACGAGATAAAAGCATCCTTTACAAAGAGTGTATATGAATAGCCTCACGATAAATTTATCCGCTAGATAAATAGCTCTTCCATAAAAAATATATAATATTAAGGACACAATAATTCATAAGTTTTCGATTTTCTACAAATTCCGTACGGGTCGAGCTAAATAAAACCGTTTAAAATTGTAGTTTGTCACTCAAAGCAATCTTATATAATTTCAGGTGTTGGTAGCAGCAAGCTGCTTGGCGTCTGAATGCGGCCCCAGATTGAAGTACGCGTGGGGCGATGCGCTACAAGCCTCGGACTGTCCCGGACCGGATGGTTCACCATATCCAAGGTAATCCAAGCTCTCACGTCTTTACTCTCTAATCAAGTAGAAAGAGATAGCTGGTTGTGCTGTCCTTTTCCCATCGGTAATGAAGCCGCTTCACAATTCACAAAACTCGACTATGATTCCCGCACGTCCGAAGTTCAAGAACAGTAACTCATAAATGCTCACCGCTGGGGCTAAAACTCCCGACATAATAATGTGAATCGACGTCACGATACCGAAGCAAAGTGCTTCTTAGGTTATCTTACTTAACATTTTAATACAAAACAAAGGTCACGGCGCTGAATTCAAATGCAATTATTTGCTAATGTATTTGAAATACACAGTCCTTTTCACTTGATTATTATTAAATATTACATATATAAATTGTTTTAACTGAGGAACAATTGCTGGTCACACACGTGAAATCAAGCGAATGCTTTTGCTACGTAGTAGAATTGGCAAGTGAATTGCAAGTAGTTTAGAAATTGGCAATTCTAAACTCCTCCAACTTCCAACCGTCAACGGCCCGTAGTCCAGGATAGCCGAACTTCAAACAGGGCGTTTGTTTTGTTTCTACCACAAACATAAGGAATCACGGTACCGTTTCAGTCTTCTTAACTCGCGAGCACAACGCTCCCATGCTCCGTGGGAGAGTTCCCACAAAACCGTGAACTCGAAGCGTGTCGGCATTTTTTCTTGCACTCGCAGCGCAATTTCGAAATTAAAGTCGTTACGACTCGGAGCTACTTGAGCACTGCTTTGGACCGGATTCCGTTTCGCGATCCATCTTTTGTCTTTTATATTTGACCTCTCTTTTTCTTTGTCAGGTGTTTTTATTTATTTTTTCCTCTTGCAACCGTTAGAGACGTCATTAGGTCGTAACTGGCATTGAAGTCGTTTTGTCAAGTGGAGTCTTCTTCATTTATTAGTCTTATTTTATTCCTTCTCTCTTTTGTTTTCTTTTGCTGCACCGAAAAAGATTAATTATTCTAGCTCAGCCTTTGAGACTGAAACAAGAGAGACGTCAAACGGAATTAAATCTGTATACTTGTCAAATAGAATCTTATAAACAAGCGTTCAAGATTCATAAATGTATGTAATTTTGCGTCCCTGCCTGTGGTGATTGGATTATGTGAAGTTTAATCGGAAAAGCTAGGTTACAAGCCAAGGAAAAATGTAAATGTAAATTTTTCCTTGGCTTGTAACCTAGATTTTAGAAAGACAGCGCATTTGGATCACAGTCGTGACTCATTGTCCGCTGAGCCTAGAACAGGGTTGGTCAGCTTTGACATGTATTGTACCTACTTTCAATCAGAAAAAGAAATATATGAATCTACGTGAAGTGACATGGTGACATACTGTGCGGTGAGTACGCGGTGCGTCGACCGTCAGTAGTAGCTCTAAGTGTAAGTAATATCTGTTTGTAATGTGGTCGATTATTATGTTACATTTTTCAAGCGATCGATTAAACTTGGCTTGGCGATCGACAAGTCAGCCAAGCCTGTCTGTAACACGTTTGTTCTTAGTGTTACCTCACGTTTAATCGATGACTTCTTCTTCTTGTGGGTGAGAAAGCAAGAAATCCTTTTAAATTCAAGTCGCTACGACCTACAGTTTTGAAACTTTTTTAATTTTTATTGTTGAAAGATTTTTGCCTCTGGTGCAGAAAAGTCGCTATTTTATGGGTTGACTAGAATTTACTTCAAATTAATAATTTATGTTAAAGGGAGTGAGCTTGAATTGAATGATTTTTTTTAAACATTGCTCTTACTGTACGATAATGCCGTGCGTTATAAGCGCAAAATCCAGATCCGAAACAATTGTTGGCGACTGTGCCACTGAGTCATCATATTGTTTTTTAACTGGTGCTAACGATTTCAGTCCCGAGAGACTATTAAAGCTTCATCGAACGCAGAACCGGTGGCCTAGCCAGAATTAGAGCCGGATTAGAGGCCCTCCACAGTTGGTGAGGCCACGCATGTGCTCATGCGTGCGTTGGCTAAGGAGTGTCGCCTACGGGCTCACGACGTTCGGTGCGGATCGTGACACCGATAGCCGTTGACTGTGCTTGGTTATTCGGTGGCTGGGGGCGGTGAGAACCGCCCTGGAACGCGGCCGTATCTAGTGTACGCGTTGTGTTGGTTTCGCCATGCTCGAAAGCGAGGACGAACTATGGTGTTTGTTGTGGTCATCATGTATATATGTATATATGAATAACGGTTTCTTTCATTTACACGAATTCGAATACTTTACGGCGCCCGTGGCCATGGGACTAACTTAGCAATTGGACGTCCTATTAATAGGAATTACATTATTAACTACCCTGCGTCTCCTTCATAGGTCTTCAATCCAAAAATAATCGAACAAGTCCCATTCCAAACATAGAAAACATCTACATGCTCCGTGAAATCCGTGTAATATGCTCAGCAACCTCAGCAACAATTTCCAATAGGTGGGTCTTAAAAATTAACATAGGCGTGACAAAAACTGTAAGTGTTGCACTCGCAACAGTTATTGATGGGAACGATACTGTCGAATTTGTTGACGAATATTTTGCCCTTTGAAAAACCGGCCACTTAGGTAAAAGTCAAACAATGACAAAGTTATCGCTCGGACAATCTAAGCCGAATGGGCAGTGTTCGGGAAATTACGCGATATCTTCTCATCCTTCGCAGTGCCTTAACACAAGGGTCTATAACCATTGGTGACATATGACGCTGAGACGTTGTCATTAATAGCTAGTCTTTTCGAGAAACCCAGAGTCACACAACGAGCTACAGAGATAGCTTTACTCGGAGTTTCTTTGCATTATAAAATCCGGTACGAGGAAATTCGCCAAAATACCAGTGTCATCGAAATAGCTGTCTGGATTTAAAAGTATAAGTGGTACATAGGGAATTAAAGTTCTCGAATGGCGATCATGAACCGGAAAACGTATCATTGGAAGGCCTCCCACTAAATGGACGGACGACAGTAAGAGTCGATGGCATCCAGTGGATGCAAGCTGCAGTTTCGTTCATTTGGCATGGGGAAGACACTTGTTCCAAAGTGGACAGCTTTTGTGATATCAATAGGCTGGCATACCGATATCTTTTCAAGTAACCGGTTCACTACGGTATATGAACGTCAAACACGATTCTGTCCATAATCATGATCGGGTCCATGGACGATGTAAAGTTTTCGAAACGTCGCGTCTCGTCAATTTTCGTTTTTGATTTACAAATCAATGTTGTTAATCATCGCATTGTCAAGTATAACTCGCTGGTTGGATAATATTTGCTTGGCCGATGATTATTCAGACTAACTTATATGCTTGTCTGTGTATTGTGTAATCTAATCTGTATTAGAAAGGTGGATAACGTCTTTCTTAGATTTTCCCTCCGTACGGTCCTCTACGTTACATGTTAATTATCAAAGCAGACGTTTAAATTTGAAACGTCAACATAAGTGACATTGAAAATCGTTTATAAAACAAACTATTCAAAGGTTCATTGTCTCGTATTACAATTGTTAACTGAATTGCTCTATATTATCTTGTCCCACAAAGTAGATCTTATGCAGACGTTACTCTATTTAGGTAACAAGTATTATGTATGGTTAGGTAACATAGACTGTTTTATAAACTGTGTTCCTAACTGGCCAACTATCATATAAATAATTATAAAATATAATGGAATGTAATAAGATAGTATTGAAAAGTTTTAAACCATTAGCCTTCTGTTGGATAAGATAACCCCACTTTATGGAGGCTTTTTGTGAACTCAATTTGGATAAACGACATACAACAGTTATACGTACTTCACAAATATTCGATAAACACTTAACCACTAAGTTAAACTGCACATAAACTTGTCCCGGGTAAATTGTTTCTATGTTAACATAACATCGACCTAACCTAAATCTTTAATATAGCTTTATCAATACTTAGTGAAGAAGCAAAAAAAACAACTTACTAGCAATCATCAATATCATAATCATTTTAGCTGGTATAAGTCCACTGATCTAATCTAATCTTCAATCTGAGATGTGGATCCCTATGAATGCGAGAAGCACGGAGAAGAGAAGCAATGGAAAGGTTTAGGAGAGGCCAAAGAGGCGACTACTACTAAAAATAATTAATTATATTCGTTCACAAATCAAAGATGCAAACATACCGTATGATATATAACCTAAATTAAGTATAAAAACCTTTTGTTGAAGAAATAAAGGTTGTTTTTACTTTCCTCTGCTGAACATAGGCCTCTCCCATAAGTATAAAAACTTTTGTAGAAGAAATAAAGGTTGCTTTTACTTTTCACGTCCTCTGCTGAACATAGGCCTTTCCCACAGGCAAAATGCATCTGACAATACGTTGTTAAAATTTTTACAGGCACCTGGTGAACAGGGCGTTGAAATCAGGCCGTGGAGTCAGTCCTCAAGGCAGGGACGCGGTCTGAGGACGTTGGACCCCACCGTGATGAGAAGAGCACTCCTGGAAGCCTACGAGGGCTACTCCGAGGGAGCGATGAAGTTCCAAAGCGGGAATAGAACGGGTGAGGAGATTTACAACACTGTTCTTATTAAGTATCTCGTATGCAAGTTTAATTTGAAATTTGAAATATGTAGATAAATATCGATATAGTGGATATTATCGCGAAAATCTTCGCACAGTGACAACGTTGATATTTATATCGACATCGTATTTTGTTTTTATTACATCTTTAGCAATGCTTGGCGTCATCTAATTTACTGCCCACACATTACGCACTTTCTCAAATGACATTTTTACAATGAATATTTGAAAACTAGAGATGTCGCGTTTGCTATTAAAAATAATTTTTAATTTAGTAATCTAAAAAAATATGCCGGTTCATCACCCAACTCTAAAACCGTACAGTTTCGTTACTAAGCAAGCTCAAGAAGATACTACTTCCTACTTAGTGGCGTAGTTGCTTATCCTGGGTTCGTTGGTTTGATTCTAACACGAGACAAGTATTTGTGTGACCCACCCCATCCGGCTATCCCATCTGGGGTAGAACGAATTTTTTTAAGTGAAAACTTCTTTAGGCGCATCGAGCCCTTTTTGGGTGAACGAAAATCATGGAACACGCGTCATCGTCACCGAATGCTTTCCATGAGCTATATGTGTATACATGTGTACTTTTTGGGTGGAAAAAATAATGGAACTCTATTAATTATTGTTAGCTTTCACTTCTATCGCCAGTCCTCAAAGACTGCGCCGCATTTTTTCTCCGCCTATTACGAAAACATAAAAAATGGTATCGTACAAACTTAAATTAAGGTCGTAAAAAACTGTACTGTTAATATAAAGAGAAAGTCTGCTTGAATATTAAATGTGGGCCGTGAAGATAGCGGGAATGCTACGACTGAACCGTATATGAAAAAATCCAACACCCTAAAAATACCATAATGATTTCTTGTGTGACACAAATACAGGAAATTTCTAAATAATAATAAAAAATATATTTCGAAGATATCTGAATTCCGCCAATGTGCAGTGGGGCCGCGTGGTCAACTATGCCCTTATACCCTCTGTACAGAGGAGGCCTTTGCCCAGCAGTGGGACATGTATAAGTTGAGACTTTACTTCTTATTTAACTTCTTTTGTTATCGGTATTGAAAATATCAAGTTGTTTACGAGTTTTATGTCTTAAACACAATACCTAAGAATATTAAAAATTAAGCTCCAACAGGCCAAAATGCAATCGACACAGCATATAATAATCCAAACAAAGGAAACTCGTCTCACGTGTCCAGATTTGAATCCCAATCAGGTGGATCGATAGATCACCACCTAGAACTTCCAACTACCAGAGCTTTAAAACTATCTCACTGCATAGTTTAATAACATTGTCTTGAGCTTGATTAATACCACCTGATAGTAAGCGGTGTAAGCAGTTGGTGTAAGCATCGTAAAACAGGCACACAAACACATACACATTCACGTACATATAAATATACTCGTAAAAACCTATTGTTGTAAATTTTGCTGACACTCTCATGCAAAATTTCTAGATTTCAAATCAACGACATGCCGGCTAGCGGTCGATGATTGATCCTATTGTAGGCTTTGATAAAGCCAATTTGAATACATAACACGAACATATGATACGGGATCTGTTTATAAATAAACGTTTGAACAATACTGCGCCACCGTGGTCTTAAGGCTAAAGCACTTTCGCTTATTCTAATCGGCTGCGTTGTATTAAACAGTTCGAAGCACTACGACACAATTGTTGTTACATGGCAATGTTTGACTAATGTGAGTAGAAGATGGAGAAAATATGTTTATTACTTTAATGTAATGTTAATGTTTTCAGAAAAACAAAAAATGACAAAAAAGAGGATACCTACGAAGTTTCATTTGCCTGTTTCTTCTCCGTTAGAGGTGGTAGATTTAGAAAAATGACTATCGATGGCGATAGATGAAATTTATGTTTGTTATGTCGATTAATAAATTATTTGATTCGATTTGAAAATTGACGTATATGAACCCTATAACTATAGTAGTGCTGGGTAGCTTTTGGTACGTGGTCTATCCCGTCGGGCAGACTGGATACCTAGTAAAGGAAATTGAATAATTGTTTCAGTAGAGTGTCTAAAGGGAGTTTGAAAACTTACATAATTTTGTACTATACCTAAACTAAAATTTTTTTTTATAAAATCGTGTGGACGTATGAAAGAGAAACATGTCTGTTGCGTTAGGATTGTTACATTAATTCTGGGAATGGAACTATCCTGTTTAGTAAGGACGTTTTATAAACAGAAATACCACGGGGACAAACACCCAAACCCGAAATAATTATCTCTGTCACATAAATAGTTGTCCCGTATCGGGATCGGATAAAAGAGCTGTCGTGGAAGGACGTGGGGCCCTACCACGAATTATCTCCCGAGAAAACCACAGAGGTCTCGACCTTCAGCATTGGGAATATACAACGCAAGAACCCTCGAAGCCAATACCTTAGTAACTGCGCCACGGAGTAACACATGCTTATGATGAAATTCCTCCTACGTTTCAGCGCGAGCTAGTAACGTGCCGGCCTTGACAACCGGAAACGGAAATGCCTGCGGCGGCGCCCGCCTCTGCCGGACCCGGTACAACACTACAGCGCCAATGTACGGAGTTTCCCTGACATCCGGTCAGCCGGTCACCATTGTGCAGAAGTTCCCCGATCTGCTGCAGCAGGTCGTCTTCGAGGTTTGCGAGTGAGTGTTCTATCTGTTTGGCAGATATTTACTTAGCTAGTTGTACCTGTGACACACCGTAGTTTATGATTATCCCAAATGTTCAATATTTATATACATATATATTATTCAATATTTAAGTTCGTACACAATTTATATGAAACTTAATTAAATTTTAAGAGGAATTTGTAGTTTTAGATGTCCCTTGTTATTTTCATTAGTACGTTATAAGCATAAATAAGAAATATGTCCTTTATTGTTATCGTATCTTACTTATATACTATGTATGGTTTCTTTTCTACCGATTCATAATAAAACTATGTTTTTTTTAACAACTAATCTGTTTTTCGCAATGCATTAGACTAAAAAGTTGTAACTCTCAATAAGAGTGGTATTAACATTCGATAAGTTAGAATCTTCTTAAATTTTTCTAGAATAACCTCTTACTTTACAGCCAAATGCAATGATGTTTAATAATATAGATGACACATTTTAATACTGCGCGGCGATTTAAAATTGTTCCGCTTCACATTATATGACATATATTATAAGTGAATGTGACAGATGATATAGATCGTATGATACGGAAAGAGACGGCAATCTATAGAATTGCTATCTAGTTACACCAATTCGTTTAATTTCAGCGCCTTAGTCTCAACGCGTTAGTGTCATATATAAGTCTTATTTGTATATAATATCATCGGCCAAATGCGTTGTAATGTCCCTTTTTGAGATGAGTTCCTTTTAATTCCAGAACGAGTGAGTGCTCCCTAATCCGTGGCACGTGCACGCAAACGTACGTGCCTTATCTCTTCCTGGTGCTGCCTCTTGGTCCCGTCACCCTTACCGGCCAGGATTATGTTCTGGTGGAGTCCGGGTGCGTTTGCAAACCGGACCCTATACCTTAGGTGTTAAGGCTCAAAGCTGTCCACTGACTGGATCTCCAACTCCATTAGGCCGAGTTAATCGCTTTACTGAACAGTCTGGGACAATTTGGAATCTCACACGTTTTATCTTACCGGGTATGAAGAGTATATATATTTTATAACCGGATGATACGGATGCATTTATTAGCGTATGTTTACGGAACGTTTGCTGTTATGTTATTTAAGAAAAAGTAATTGATGAAGTGGTTCTTGACGGACGTTTTAGTAAAATAGTCGTAGGGGAAGCAAAAAGGACGGTTCAAAAAGATGGGTTTGAAAGAAACCGTTGTAGTTTTAAACGAAAGGATTTTAAAGTAACTCTTAAAATTGCGTTTATTACTTAACAAAGTTATGTTTGTCGTCTTCTGTCTGAAGCAATAGAAAATTGACTGTTATTAAGTTATCGCTCTCTCAGTAAACAAGAATTTTAAATTGAAAGCGAGAAAGCGCAATTGTGCTAGCCAAAATCTAGATTGAATTTAATTTTCTTTGGTTGTTTGTAAATTCTTTTGGCTGAAATAATGATAAATATATCTAGCCAAACTCTTATTTATACTCTAATTTATATTACATCGAATAATACGAAATCGAATTGTATTATACTTTTAATTATACTTAACAATTGCTCAGGAACTCTTCGAACTGCGTCAGCGTTAAAAGAGTTCTTTTTATTTTTGTCTGTCTTTTGCGAATCTTTATAGACTGAATTTAAATATTGTTAATTTATTTAGTAGATATTTATTTATTTCAAAGCACCGTGTCGCACTGTGCTATTATTTATTTAATAGAAAAAAATTTCGTCGTGTTAATAAAAATGTTAATATTACGAACAACGAATGTATCAAAGATTTGGGTGAAAATATAAGTGATCTTTCATTTGTGACATATTTCGTTTCATTGCACGATCTCAAGTGACCCCAGATGTGGTTCCGATCTCCAGTACCTTAAAAATATTTTGTAATGAACATAATAGTAGAAGAGTTTGTAGGAGATAGACCTTCGCCCATGTGATAGCCAGATGAGATTTTTTCTGAAATGTTATTGATTTATAAACACGCCAATGACAACTTGCAGATTGAGAAGGGTTCATGGCTATTATTCATTAAATTAATTTGATTATTTTTTTTATCCTAACCTCCACTCTTTTGACAACAAAAGAGTGATGTGCTACGATAAACGAACAAATTTAGTTTTAATCGATGGTTTTAAATGTGGGATATACATTGTTAGCCTTGAATATGCGTAACCAACTTTAAAAAAAAGTGGGCCCTGGCTACCTCAATCACCAGACGGAACGCAGAATTATAACGCTTCCATTTCATGCGAGTCTTCTGTGAGTTCGTGGGTCGTGGTACTTACCCGAATGGACTGAAATCTAAATTGTAATAACAAAACAACTTTTAACAATGCAATCGATGCAACATATATCAATAAAAAATTTAAAATAAAATATGTTCTTTAATAATTTTTTTTTTGAGTTTTTAATTCACTGAAGTTATTTCTTTTAAATTAAAGACCAACAATTTTAAAGGCATCTACGCCATCAAATTTAATGTCAATAAAAATAAAAATTCATATTTACAAAAAATAATTTGCTGAAATCACGAATACTTTAACATAAAATAATATCCATTTAGATTTTTTTTATGACTGGTTCCTTAATTTTCTAATTAACAAACTATGATTTATTATTAAACATTGATAAAATCTACTTACAAGCTATGTTTCGATAATAATGTCTTGGATTCTCTTAATATACTTCCACTAATAAATAATACTTGTAAAAGTAGGAATTTATAACGCTAAATAGTTTACTCCAATTAAACTTTTTCTTTTTTTCAGAATTTAGTATTGGTACTTGCCACATAACTGCCTATTCTTCATTTGAAAATGGCACGAAGAATATTTTAAATATATTTTTATCTCGTCCACGCTCACTCATATTTAAAAAAAAATTGTTCCTTATTTCGTCCAAAGAAAAGTTGATGAAATGACCAGAAGAAAGGTTGATCGAAGTTGACTTACATATTATTTTTTTAAATATTGTTCCGAATGTAAGGACAAAAACGATTCACAACTTGAATTTCAATACGTCTCGGTTTGATAGATTTTTGGACTTTAAAAACTGTTATTCTTTTTAATGTAGTTGCGTTTTTTGACAATCAATAAGTGAGTGTAATGCTTCTATCTGGAATAAAGATATTTGATTTGATTTTATTAATTCTTATTATTGTTTTTTTTAATGACATAATGGGCGATTTTCGTTTTTCTGCGTATATCCAACACAGCAATGGCGGAACAAGTTCCGTACACGCGTTACTTTTTTTTAAAATATTTTTATAAATTCTCAAACCGAATGAAAGCGTTCGTTGGAGCCAAATCGCAGACATTATTACGTGCGCACTTCACGAGCCTATTGCTCGTAACGTTGGTAGTATTGGGGCGCGGCTTGTTGTTGCTGTTGATGCTGTGGCTGTTGCTGCAATTGCTGGTGGGGGATCTGGGGTTGCTGGAGCGTTTGTGGTTTCGGTGTCGGTATCTTCACCACGATGTCGGTGGGCTGGCGTGATACCTGTGCAAGGCGTTGGCAATATTGAAATACGTTGCATTTCAAAAAACAATAATAAAACTGTCGTTGAAGTTGGTTGCGAAGCAACTATTGTTGTAACCACGATGAGGTTGGTATATTCAGCATAAATTAAATCTTTATACTATTTCTATAATTAAAGTTAAAAAATGATTGTCATTCTCCTTTTTAAACAAAAAAGGAAATGAAAAAGATTTTGTATTGTATTGTAATTCTTACTCACTCTATATGATAAACGTGTAACTTTAACGTATCTCAAAACTTTAAATATGTAAAATATTCGCAAAGTAGTCATAATAACTTCTTTTATTAACACGAAAAAATAATTTACGGGTTTGTTTTAATTTTAAAATACCTTACGTTTCGAATGCTTTACACCATTCATGTTCACGTGCTTGGCATCGTTGGGTGTTTTAAAATAGAAATAAACCTTGATAAAATCCGTAAATTCGTTTTATCAAAATACTTATTCAGTGGGTAGAAAGGTTTAAAATTTTTAGAGAAATTTTTTTAGAATTTTTCAAGAATTTTAAGATCTGAACCTGCAACTCCGTGTTACGCGTCCGACTCTCTAGGTACTGAGCTAAACGGTATATTTTCACACAGGCAAAAATTTCAACGTTTTTATCTACTTTGTATGTATTGAATTTTAAGCAAAGGTACCAGCTAAGGTACAAAGGTACCAACCTCAGCCTTGAAACCTTCTTTTGGGTCAGCGGTGTAGGTGACCGTCCTTACGAAGCCGTCGCTGTCCACAACGGAGTACGAGCCCTTGATGACACCACCCTCCCTCTGCTCCTTGCGGTTCTGGTAGTTGGTGTACTGGTCGTCGTTGACGTCAAAGCCGAACTGGTAGGAGGGATTTGGCTGTGGAAGGATAACAATTTTAATTTTTAACATTTATGATAACATTAAGAGCCTTGATAGCTCAGTGAAATTATTCAATGAAAAATAATTTTCAATAGGTTGCAATGGCGGGTACTTAGGTACACGCATTGGGCTATCTGTGCCGTCGAGTCAAATACCTTAGTACCTATTATTTTTTATATCTACTTAAAAAAATTATAACGCAGTCAAAAACTCCGCCATTGTCAGTCGTTAATATTTTTATACTAGTTAAATAAATATGTGCAACGTGAACTAGTTATTATTAACACCGTCCGATCCAATTTTACGTAACGGCCTTTAGTAATTGCGGCTGCGATCGGGTTCCGTAATCGCGGGATCGTAATCGATACTGCATCGAGGAGAAAGCCGATCAGTGTATTAAGATAACAACGCTAAATAATTACGGCTGAAATTTACGGCCGAACTAATGTCTAATCAGTGTACGTACCGACTAGTTGCGGACGGTCTCTGAGATGAGTTCGCGGTTAACATTAGGCGGTACATACATTTTCATTTCAGTGGCGCAAGGAGTCGTGGGTTCGATTCCCACACGAGTCAACTATTTGTGTGACCCACACATAATTGTTTCGGATCTAGGTGTTAGACCACGTGAAGTTTATATTTGTAAAACTTCTTTACAACCCAGAATAATGTTACCCTAAAGTAACGGCGGTGTAGTTTTATAAAAATAAAATAAAAAACGCACCGATTGCACATGAGTTTAGTCGTATAATTAATTACTCAATAACAGTCCATTATTTTAGCAAGCAAGCAGTTTATCATCCGATGTTAAATGATTATGTTAATGTATGGTAACGGATGAAATGTCGTCTTTGAAATCCTGGGCCCTAGCTACCTCACGCAGATGGAACGCAAAAATGTGATACTTCAACTCCACGCCGATCTTTTACGGGCTCGTGGCACTCCCTGGACGAGTCTGCCCATACGTGATTTAAAACGTAGCTTAGTCATGCGAAAAGCAGGAGGGTCATAAACCTTATATATACACGAGTAGACCAACTCGTTTTGCAGTACTAGTACCGTACTGAAAGACCAGCGTAGAGCAGAAGTTTTTATGATAAAGTCTTTGCTAAAGGACAGCAATGAAACTGAAAGCTTATAGCTGTTGTGGATGGCCGTGGACTCCGCACTCAGCAACAGGACTTTCTATAACTCAGAAAATCGTCACAGAAATTGTTTGACATAGGAGTTATTGCATACGCACTGAATGTTCTAGACGGTTTTTAAGCAATCACAAAGGCTAGTATTTTGTATTAGTATTAGCGTAGTGGATGATTCGTTGGAATCGCAACCAAAGATCTTGTGCTGAATTCCTAACAGCACGCACTAATAAGCGTGTCGTATTTCTTACAATGACATTACGAGCAAATGACTACTAAATGATAAAAAGCGATAAGGCTGTCACGTTTCGGAACTAAGGAACGTGAAACGTAAAATAACAGCCATCTCTCTGCCTATTTCGATATATCCGAGCTTTGAAAGGACATCGATAGCAGCAGCCACCTCTTTAGAACTTAGGTTTAAACAGTCGTTTAATTGCAACATAACGCTATGCATAGGTTGGCGAAGGCGGCTCAGTTATACGCGATAGTCCAGTTTCTCGGTGAAAGTGCTAATCTTACACCGGTTCGCTCGAATGAACCAATTATAGACAATCACATGACTGTACTCATAAAGTGCAAACTTCAACTTTCACATATTAAACGGAATAAATGAAGACCATACAAATCGTAGAAGGAAGAGACCGCAGGTAACTATTATGTAAGCGATATAGGCAGTGAGCTTTTACCGGAAATTGTTAGATTCCCGTCAGTATACGATATTGTATCATAGCCATAATACAATAAATCTAGTATTAGTATAGAGAATAGAAGTATCATTGTATCATTTGACTCAAAGTCTATAATTTTATGTATCCCAATTGTGCATTTCGTAAAAAACCAAGGATAGGCACGGCATATTAATGAGCCACTGCTACGCAAAGGCCTCCACTGTACAGAGTGTTTTCCTTCAGCTTAGCATGTGATAAAACAATACTGAAAATTATTGTTATTATTAAGTTCATTTATGTAAGTTATGGAACTGGGAATTGAATTTAGGTTGCTCGAACATATTTAATGAAAAGAGAGCTTTTGAATACTTCTTGTATATTGTATTAACTGATGTTTTTGCTTTCAGTCCCGAGACTATTAAAGCTTCATCTGACGCAGAACCGGTGGGCTAGCCAGAACCCACGGGTTTGGGTTTGAATACTTACTCGTAGCTATCATGACTCACTGTTTCGTTCCTAATTAAAATCAAACAATACATTTTGTGAAACCGCTCGATCGCTTTGTCAATTATTTTAGAATTACACCTATCCTCTTAAAATGGTTGATGTCGGCCTCCTAACCCGGCTAGTATATAATAATATTTAAAAAAAAACCTTCCTTCTCTACCAAACAATAGAATATGTGTTTAAGTAAATATAATTTAATTATACATACAATCGCCAGATGCTTAGCATATAAAATGTTAAATTAGTATAGAAAAATGTCTTGCCGCAATCAAAAATGGAAATAAATTAATTTAAATGTTATTTTTAAAAACATTTAAGTTTTAGTTTTTGTATTTGTATGTATTTTTTTTTTTAATTTTTAACATTTTTCTTTTATAAATCTAAATAACGTTAAAATAAGATATTATAATTGTATACCTCTGATGCAAAGTGCATAGTAGCTGGTGGTGAAAACTTTATTGGCCCGCATATAATGTGTGTTATTGTACTATTAATTTATGTAAGTGCTGTTTGTGTGTTCCTAATCAATAAAATAAAAATAAAACTAAATATATCATACAAAATACCAGACGTACTTCGAAGCCACTGACATCAGCACTGTAGTCTATCTTTCTATCGTTTTGCAATTGCATGGCTGGGCTACTTACGTCATAATCTTCGGGAACTCGCTGAGGACCTTCTTGGGCATACTGCTGGCGGTATTGTTGCTGAGGTTGGGGCTGAGGCTGTGGCTGGGGCTGGGGCTGGTACTGCTGGCGGCCCTGGTACTGGTTTTCGGTCTGCACTTGGTACGGCTGTCGGTACAAAGAGTAAGAAATGAAAAACAAGGTCTCGCAAATTTGTTACAGATACTGTCCAATGTTTTGCTGCTCATGTCGAACTAGGTGAGCATGTCCGAGTGGATTTTGTCTTTACTCGAGCCCCGTACTCGAGATTTTGGACCCATCGTAAGATTCTCCGGCGGATTTCACGCCATACCACAGTCACCAATTCGCCAATTCTAGCAAATGTCAAAAATCTAACGTCCTATGGTAGCATCTGGATATGCTTCGAGTTAAGAAGCAGGTTACAACAACCTGTACACTTTTTTTAATGGTAATATTATGTTTGACAACAACTTAATACTCGTATCTAAACTAAAACACTTGGTTCCGTTCATACTAACTTCATAACAATAAAAACAGTCTACTTTGGCACATCTTGCAACACGTCTCGCTTGTTTCAGAGCCGTTTAGCCAAGTACTTAAACTACAGACTATGCAAATTGTAAACGTTAACGCAGTTCACTTCACTACATAGTATAAAACAAAGTCGTCCCACTGTCTGTCTGTCCCTATGTATGCTTAGATCATTAAAACTATGCAACGGATCTTGATGCGGTTTTGTTACTAGATAGAGTGATTCAAGAGGAAGATTTATAATTATGTATAATACATTGCACCCGTGCGAAGCCGGGGCGGATAGCTAGTTACTTAATAAAAATAATACTCTTGATAATAAACAGTTTTAGATTCTAAATTAATTAATAATTAGATTAAATTGAGATTAATTAATAAATTCTAATTACATAATAATATTATCTTCAAAGTGAATCTATAGTACTGTTTGAAGCTAAATATTATATACATTCATAACAATGTCCCCGCCATAGCGGTTGCACGAATGGGCAGGTCCGTTCGGGGAAGTACCACGACCTCACAGAAGACTGGCGTGAAGTAGAAGTTATATAGTTCTGCTTTTCGTCTGGTGAGTGATTGTAACCGGGGTCCAGTTTACTAAAAGATGGCAACGCATCTCCAACCCTGATGCAAATTTCAATGGGTGGCGGTTATCACTTACCATGAGTTGAACAGCCAGCTTGCTTGCCATCTCGTTACATTAAAAAATACAAAGTGGTTTTATTCACTAGGATGTAACTTACAAGTCTCGCGGGTCCTTGGGCAGGTGCGCCGCCTAAGTGCTGTGGGCGGGGAATGATCTGAGTCTGCACTTGGCTAGGCTGTTGGCCACCAATGTACTCTCTCAGTAGGTGCGGTGGAATGCCCTCATCTTGCTAAAAAATCAATAATTTTACCTTAGCAACTTGGTAAATATCACAAGTCAGGAAATAACAGACTGTTGTAGAATCAAAATCATTTATTTATCGTCATAAGAAACATACATTTTATCTATCGATGGTATTTTTTTTAATTTAACGCCGTTTCGTAATGAGGTTCCTGCAGAGGAACAGACGAAAGAAACTCCGTAGGTATGCTCTTTCTTGTCAATTTCAGTTCAAGTCCAATACGTTTATGAATAATCCAGGCCCTTTTTTCAATCTTTTCAAGACCGGATTAATCATATCCCATTCTACAGTCTGTGTTTGTCTTGTTTATTTTTTAGGTACTTACATTTATTTTATGTTTTTTTTAAACATTGTCCATAATTTAAGATAACCTTATCCTGTGTTGTAAGGACCTTTTATAAATATATATTTCACGCACATACCCAGATGCGAAACAATTATCTATCGGTCCACAAATAGTTGTCCCGTGTGGGAATCGAACCCACGACCCCCGACGCCGAAGCCAATGCCTTGGCAACTGCGTCGCGGAGTCATCAACATTATACTAGTCAGCGGTGTGTAGCATTCGGAGTGCAGAAATTTTTATAGTTACCCCTTATCTGATCGCATATTTGTGTATGGCTTTAAGTCTAGACCGTATGGGCAAACTTTAAATCGGCAGTAACAGAGCATAGAATTACGTCACACCAAAAACCAATCCATCTTGCCAGACACGGACTCGGGCGAGTAATCGAAAATCTACGCGTCACGGTTCGAAAAACCGACTCGCTGTACCGTCGTCGTTTACCGGTTATCGGAGCGGCCGGCGCATTGCGACACGACGAAAACCGTAACACGTCGCAACTGGGCCGGTTACGTGGAGCGCGATTTGGCGGGACTGTGAACGTAACACGCGGCTTTTTCGTTGTGATGCAAATGTGCTTTTTCACCGTTGCCGCCGTATTGTCCATCGCCGATTGCGTCGGCGAACGTCACATAAACTAGTCTATAGCTTAAAATGTGTAGATAAAACTGTCAAAGAAAACTTTGCCGCTACTATGATAACCCGCGCCTTCTTGATAAATAATCTTACTTGTACTTGTATTAACTGATGTTTTTGCTTTCAGTCCCGAGACTATTAAAGCTTCATTTGACGCAGAACCGGTGGGCTAGCCAGAACCCACGGGTTTGCGCCCTCCGCTGTGGGTAGGGCCGCGCATGTGCTCATGCGTGCGTTTAACTACGAAATGTCATCTAAGGGCCATCGAAGTTGCGGTGCCGATGACCGAGACCCCGATGGCCGTCGACTGTGTTTTTAGCTAATCGGTGGCTGGGGGCGGTGAGAACCGCCCTGGAACGCGGGTGTACCTTGTGTGATAAATAATCTTGTAAATAATAATGTAATAGACACAAACTTTCCGACAAGCTTACGGTTTCATAGTGTGTGATTGCTAAGGATATCTTTATTCCTTTGTGAAACAAATATCCTTTATATAATAACAATATCCAAATATCCTTTAAAAAATCAAAAAGTTGCTTATATAATTTCTGACTCATTAAAATGTTAATAAAAGATACAAACATTTTATATTCTAAATTAAATCAATCATATGATGTCCCTGAAAGTGAATATTCGATAAAGCTAAATAATTTCACCTTAAGTTTAAGTTATGACAGTTTTAGTTTACGATATTTCATTTTTTATTATTATCGAAAAATATGGAAAAAATGAAAAAGATGCAAGACAAGTACAATAAATGAAGAAGTGCATACAATAATTATGCATCACAAAAAAACGTTTTATTTGCAGTAAAGGCTATTATTTTGCGATCGAAATTCTATCTGCAAAAAAATATGCGTACACTGTACGACTTATTTTCATTGATTTCAAAAATTAAAAAATAACAATTTTTCTTAATATTATATAAGTATACCTAATTAGTGTCTTTCTTAATGTCCAATGTACAATGTAATGAGGTTCTATGTTTTCACATTTCCGGAATAAACCTTTAGTATACTGAGCACGGTCTGATCTCAAGTTCTGATAGTTTCAGACTTTCAATTGCAATTTTGTTACGTCTTTTGCATAATGATTTGGGGTTATATAATTTAATCGCTTGAAGCCGACTAATGTCTGAAGTACGAAGTGCTTTCACAGCCTAATTTTGTTACGTTACGTTATGTTTGTTACGCGGATAATCTTATGAAGACTTGTAAACTAGCTGGTGATTACATATTTTAGATAGAAGGAATTAAGTGCACGTTCAATTTTTCAACTAACAATTTACCGAAAGCAAACACTGAATAAATAATTAACACGCATCACGCAATTTTAATTAATACGGATCAATTATAATCTTCAACTTTTTTTAACATTTATTTCGACTTGATCAATAAAAATCGGTATTCCTAAACCCGTTAAGGAATCTTTTAAGTATATAAATATAGGTAGCCCCGATTATTGACTTTTTAAACGAAGACATTGAATTTCATAATATTTGTATAGCTTTAATTAAATAAAAATTATCTACTGGGTTAAAGAAATCTAATCTTGGAAAAATTGTTATTCCTTCGTTTCTGACTACAAACAAAATATTGAAGTAATTATTTTAGCTTCAATCATAAATTAGTTGATGCTCGATCATGTTATTGTTTTTCAATAAGTCAATCGGTTCCTCTATAGTTTGCATGCAAATAAGTGTTTAAAATTAAAGGTAAATAAAACTAATTTTAAAAAACAATATTTTTCATCTTTCAATTAAACAAATTATTCTTTATTACAAATTTTTAAACGAAATTCTTATTTATGAAGCCACTAACTCTATTCTCGTTGTCTATTTTTCGTCAATAGCGGCAAACATGAATTTAAAATGGTATTTGAATCATTCAATTTGATTAAGAATTTTGTAAGTTACGGAAAAAAAACTTTGAGAAGAGATTTAGTATATTTCACCATTTCCAGATAAATTGTGTGCGGAATAGAGAAAGGCAAAGGCAAACGGTCCAACGTTTGCTTTCGTATCTCCTTCCAATCTAACAGCGTGACTGACCGGCAATTCGGTAAATTATCCATATAATTGCACACGCAACCGCTATTTTTCATAAATTAACTACGTTATCATTATATACCTGAATTTGCTTTGATCCTTTCAGGAGCTAACATTCCAAAAAACGGTGTAAATTTTTATTCATAATGTCTAGTTTAGATTCTTGTCTTATGAAAATACGACAAGAATCCAATTAAATTGAAGTGAAATACATTAGGAATAAATATTTCGGGACATTTTGACACAATGTTATCTAGCATAACAAACGAAGCAAAGCTTGTATTATTTGTACTAGGTTGCTGATAAACATACTAAAACATACTTCTTTTGTAAATAAACACTTATTATAGATATATAAACACCTGGACACTAGAAAAACACTATGTTCATCTCACTATATTTTTCCAGTGGTGTGGATCGAACCCACGCCCTCTGACGCTAGAGACAGGATCAACAAGACCAATGGGGTCGAAAGTAAGTTAAAGTTAGTTGCTTCTGTCTTGTCTATGTCGTTCTTAGTAAATAAGTAAGTGCCCTTAGTAAAGAAGTAAAATCGTAACAACGAACAAAGTTATTCTTATAGCTTGCTGTCCGGCATACGGTGAACAGTCTATATAATTTAAAAAAACAGTTCAGTCCTAATTTAAGAATTTAAATGTTATTGCTATAACAGTACACGGGTATAAGCTTGAGGGAAACTAACCTGTTGTTGCGTCTGATATTGGTGTTGAGGCGCCGCCATAACACACCCCAGCACTGCCAACGTAACGCACTGACGGAACATGACGCCGCGCACCTTTTACTGATTTAAAAATAAAAAAGATAATCAAAAAATACTTCCAACCACCACACACGCGCCGCACGGACCAATGTTGCGTGCAAGCAGCATTCGGCTTATATAGCCGCACCCCTTCTAGTTGGCGTCAAGAGGGAGTGGAGAATTTGGCTGAACGCGACGCGAGACATGTATCCGAACATGTGAATCTGGAATTCGCTAAAAACACCGCGTTCCGAAGAGTTCCGTTGAAAGAAAACGTGAAAATTTTCAGAGTCTGGGGCGAAATTGGGGAAACTTCCTAGCCATGTTGTTTTTTTTACGCAAAAAAAGAATGCAGAACAACCCAAATTCAACACGTAACTATATATTCAGACGACCGATAAGCAATCACCTATTCAATTAACTAAGCAATTATAAAGTAAACTTTACCTTCTTATCTTTTCAAGGGTGTAGTGCCGAACTTTTGTATTAAATCCATCCCATTGACTGTTTGACTGTTTATAAATATATCCGCACCTATTTTTATTCAACCATATCTAGTTCCAAACTTAGAAAAGCTCGTACTATGAGGGTCGAGTAACAGGGTCGAAATTACACCCTCTGGTGCAAGAGACATTAGAATGAGATTTTTGATTTTTGATTATTATTACCGAATCGACATTCCCTTGAAGTATATCAACAACCATGACATCTTGAAGGCAGGTGAATTGCACTTTATACCAGATATTAAATAAAATGAAAAAGGCATTAAATAGGCTTGTTTTATAAAAGACAAGAAAAAATGTCATGAGTACCCATTTCCTAGTTTATTTCTGGTACTTTATGTCCGATTGCGGTGCAGTACTCTGTATAATAAAAACAAATATATTATTAATAATCTTCGAATCTGTCGTCAATCACTGCAGTAACACACATAATAAAAACTGCTTTCGATTTTCATATTGTGTAAAATTTTTGTAATAAAAAAATAACACATTGTTTAAACTATAATGTATTCTTGATTAAATTACAGGTATGTTATTCTAGGTGATGGAAGTAGTGACCTAAACCTAGACATAACTTTTTGGAAAGTGTTACTCGGTTTTGTATGTGAATATATATATATATATATATATATATATATATATATATATATATATATATATATAAAGATTTACTTATTAAGATGTGGCATGTTGACAGATAAAGCATTCAGATTCTATATATATATATAATATCTATATATATAATCATGGACAACTATTTTTTTTTATATAACGCCTACCTACTAATCGCATCTTTGACACACTTCAATAACTGGTCCCTTAATATTATGTTCAGATCATAATCTGTGCCAGAACTTACTGGGTACATGCAGATTACTTATAACATGTGAATAGAATCTGACAAGGTCTCTACAGAAGTCTTATTTGACATTAGTAAAATGTCAAGCATGACTCACGAGGGTAGAATTCATACTAAAGTTTGTAATGAAGAGATACCGCTGTCTATTATTGTAAAGTAGGTTACTTATACTCATGCGCTTTGTCTTTGCCAAAGTGTTAATGCGAGCTTAATGTAAACGCATGAATTGTATCAATAGAGTTACATTTGTAAAGCGGTACTGTCGAAAAATTAACACAATAGATTTTAAATATGCAAAAATATAGTAAGAAAACGATTACAAAATAGCGATCACAAAGAGTACTTCTATGAGCTATTGCCTGTGCTGTGCTCATTTCATTTTCCTCAAGTTAAAACATTCAGGTTCAGTTATTACCCGACTGTCGAAGAGGGTATTGTTTTTCGAGGTGTATGGGTGTCTAATTCTTTGGTGCGCTCTACAGCCTAAATGTTTCGACAGAATTTGACATATGAGATGCCATTAGATTCGTCTCTCGTTGATCGTATGTTTTTTTTCCGTAATTAGGTGGCATACTACTTGGGTTCACCTGATCAAAAACTCAAAATCAAAATCATTTATTCATCGACATAAGAAACTTACATTTCATTTGTCAATTTTTTTTTACCGGTCACCGTTTCGTAATGAGGTTCCTCTAGAGGAGAAGAAACAGGCGAAAGAAACTCCGTAGGTATCCTCTTTTTTGTAATTCATTTTTTTTTTTCTAACAAAAAATTCAAATATTATACAACTGATTTTTTTCCTTTTAGAAATAGCTTGGGAGCGATCAACTCATTCCCAGGGGTTATTGTCATTAATGTATTCATTTGTATTATAATAACCCTTTTTATAAAGTTTTTCTTTAATAAATTTCTTAAACCTGTTAATAGGCAGGTTTTGCGCATTGATGATGTAATAACCGACGCCCATGGACATCTGCAATACTCGTAGGGTTGCGATGCAGACGCGTTGCTACCTTTTAATAAAGTGGGCACTGGCTACCTCACTCATCAGACCAAACGCAGAAGTGTAAAGTTTCCACTTTACGTCTGACTTCTGTGAGGTGGTGGTTCATACCTGGACGGGCCAAAATCCTATTGAAGTAATTTACTCTATATCGCTAATATATCAGAGACGAATCTAACATGTTGACATCACGTAACGTATGTTGAAGCGCGTCAAAAGATTTAGGTTGTAGATCATAGCAATAAATAAGACTAATACTCAATATATGTAGGTTACCTACCTTACGAATAGTAAATGGTACATTACGAGCCTATATATGATTTATGTAAAATTTGACTATTCATAAGAACGCGCGAGCGTCTATTTGACGCTTTATATTTTGGATTTGATTTGACATACATACGCTCGGTAAAAATTACTCTCCTCAGGCGGGCGGGTAAAAATCGGCGCTTTTTGGCTAGGAGGGTAATGTAAGCACCGACATTTGTTTCCGGCAAAACTTTCAGTTCACGAATGGGGCTACAATAGCCAAGTTGTCTTTGTCTATCTTGGTATAAAACGGACCGACCGATGGACTTTGTTTATACATACACATTATTTTTGTTTAACTGGAGTCTGCTTTTAAATTGCCTTTAATGCTAACTGCAACTCGAAGGAAGAAATACGCAGTGTCTTTACATTTTATGAGTGGTCACGACAAGCCAAAGGTAATTTGATCGTTAGAAAAAAAAATACAATATTTGAAATATGAATCACGACGTCAAATTAACAATTGCATGCACTGTACTCTGCAGCCGGAACCTTACCTATAACGTGATAAGTTAACGGCACTTAACGATTAAGCTGACTGAGGTCTAACCTTACTTTTCCTTTGGCTTTACTTGTCGTGAGAAAAAAAAAAACCAGCTAGCATTACGTCACAATATGCTTAAAATTATTAACTCAGTTGTTTGTACTAGCGCGATGTTTTTTCCTATTTTTGCGCATAAAACAATGTATAAACAAGCTCACGACCCGTCGTTTATTGGATTTTAATAAGTAATTACTACAATGATACCGGCGGTAACTAATTCTGTCCTACCTGTTATTATACCTAAGGCGTTAAAGCTTCTATTTGTGATTTATATGCAACGGACAGATTTTTCTGTATATACCATACAATAAAGTCTGTCCATTAAAAAAGCCTTGGAAGACTACGAAATAATATCTTTTAGATTATTTTGGAATAATTATTCTATACCCTTGAGTTTCGATGGTACCCATTGCGTCTCTTATGTTGCAACAAGTTTAAGTAAATATCTTTATAAAAATGGTTACATTTCTGACTGCAATAAAACGCCCCAAACTTGGTTTATTGCCTAACAGTCTGGCACCAAAGCGAATTGTGAAAGTATTCAATAAAACGTTTTGAATGTATAAATGTCATGTTAAAGGACCAGCTTTGTTTTAGTTTTATTTCAAGGGCGCAAGAGAAAAACACAACTGACAAACAGATTTGCAGCAAGCAGAGATATTGTTTTTCACGAGTGTAACGTAAGCTGCTACTGCATATTACGTTATCGTTTCATAAATACCGATAAATATGTAAGATTGTGCGTCTGTAGACGCGTAAAAATAAAAAAAAAGTATAATTTCTTAAATTGTATTAATCTTAAAGTTGCCAAACAAATAGTTTAATAAAAGAATGAAAGCAAACAATAATTATTATTATATAAAGTGGACGTACTTTAATTATTAATTCTTTCTTTTAACGAACTCTTTGAATATTAAGTTAGTTTATGTAATTATATCAGTGATCTATCTGTAAGATCTGATACTCGACTAATAAATAGAAATATAATTGTGTTAGACACAACTATCAAAGCCTTTCAAATACACTTTGCACATTTCATACACTTTGCACATTTCATAGTTCATGCACTGCCTCATCCAGGAAAATACCACAGCAATGGAGGATTAGGACTTTACAGAAGTGTTTATGTTTTTGCGTTTCGCTTGACGAGTGGGGTAGCACACCCACAAAAATTCGGAAAGAAACTGGCAAACCCCACAACTTACTTTCGTTTTCCATCAGCCTTCAACATGACTTTTTTTTTACTTTGGGTATCACTTACCCCTAAACACTATACCTCTTCGCTAATAAAAATATTGATAGTAAGAGATTGAAAATCTCCTGCAATTGATTTAAAATCGTGTCAGTCCAGGTAAAATCGCGCGCTTAGCTAGTAAATATTATTTCGTCGGTTTCAATTACACTGATTTAAACTGGGGCATGACTCTACAAAGCATACACATGTGTGTCTATTGCGTAATTCGTAGTCGGATGTTTGAGATCAGTGGATTATGTCCGTTGCATTTGAATTCACAAATTAAATTCACTTTTATTTATTCAAAACATGTTGGCAATGCTTTTAAATAAAACCTTTTCTTTTTAATCATAGCCTCATTTTCCTGAACGCGTATGCCTCGGTCGTTGTCGTTTTCTCATATAATTATATTTATTAAAGAAATTATTACTATTGTATCCCTGAAAACCTACATGAATACTAGCTTTTGCATAGCATCGGTATAAGATAAAGCTTTAAATAGCCTCCGGAGAAAAAAGCGACTTTCCGCCCACACAGAATACGTTAAAAAACTTTGAAAGATTCATGGAGGA